ATCCTGTGCAATCATTTCAATATGATATTGGAATCAAGTGGCGCACAGTCTATTCCATTCTTTTCTGCGCAATATTTTCAATATGCTAATCCATTCCGTCACCTCTGGTTTCTCTCAACAATGTTCTACCTCCTTTGTTCAATCAAAGCCAATCACATCTGCCCATGACATCACAACAGCAGCTTTAAGTTAAAATTACAGTTTAAAATGAAAGCTTTTCTTTACATGGAATGAAATTGAGAATAAACAAATGAAATCCATAGTAATTCACTGACAAGTCATTACAGAGATAACAACAATGCAAATTAACAACAACAACAAAGTTGCAAGCTAAATTCAATACAGCAGAATGAAAACAAACATACACCGAGCAGACTCCACAAGCTGTTTCTAGTGTTCTTGTTCTGTCCCAAAAGTGTTTTCCTTAACAATTAAAACATAACCCAAAAATATTCAGAAAGCTCCCAAAATCTTGCTCTATGCTTTTAAATCAGTAACTCTATGATGTTGAACTCAGTAACATCAAACAAGAGATTCAACACTTCTTTCTGGGTGACAGTAGTTTCCCTTTCATTTACAACTAAACCCAAAAACTAACATTCAAACATCTATAACAATATAAGCTTTCCATTGTGCAATATAAAATATATGTGTTTACTTAGAATGTCTGTATGTTTCAAGCAGTCTCCATGTTTTCATTAGCAATATAAAAATAAAGAATGTTATCTGCAAGTTAAAAGGAAAGGAAAAAACGATCACTGGTGTATAAAAGGTATTTTCTCATAATCAAATAAGGTACAGTTAAAAGAGATGTATAAAGTGAGCAAACATTGCAAGAATCACGGTAAGAACATAAACTGACAAACATAAAATTTTTGTTTTCTAATGTTTAAGCAATCACAAGTGGGGGAAATGTGATATTTACTGTTTTAATTAAAACTGATTATAAAATATGAAGAATGCAGGTTCAGAGTTCATGTTCTGACTAACAAATTTAAACATACCTTTAGTACAGAAAGCTATAAGTTTCTGAATTTGTTAACATGAGACTCATCCCTGAACATTTCATGCAGACTGAAGAATCTATTTTAATCATGAGTTGACATAAGACCCACAAAACTGTTGTCTTTCATCTTTAACACTTTTGTAATCTGTTAAAGGACTTGTGGTTTCCTGCTCTGTCTGCTCCAGGATTGTTTACTTTTCTTGCAGCCGAAGGGGTGATTATTTCCTCATTACAATTCTCTTACCAATGTTCTCATTCTTGATTTTACCTGAACCTACAATACTATGAACGGTTATTATAACAAAGCTATATAAACTAGATAAAACACAAAAAAAGGTATTGCCTGTGAAAACCAGCCTCCCACAACACATATGTGCACCACTGTTCCCCCAACAAACCTTGTGTTTCTTAACAGATCATTCTAATACTTCTCACCGGGGCATGTATGTAGTACACATGACGTTCCTGTGCCATTTTGTATTTAAACCCCTCCCCTCCCCCAGATTAACTTCAGCATCTCCAGTGCCATTGACATCTTTTTAAAGTAAAACAAATTGTAATATGAGGTCTGCCAATCAAGCCTCAACCCAATAATAAAACTATCTTGGCAACATATTTTTAGATACCCCTCTTTCTAAACAAAATGAAGATGCCAAGTTTCAGTAGGAAAACTGCTGTGGCTGTCTGTAGAACGATCAGTAAGAGCTATACAACACAAGGAGAGTCTTCTCACAACACAGGTAATGACGGTGAACAGTATGGGATGCGCTGCCAACGAGCACAGATACTAAGCTACTTTCTGTCATTCATGTAGTCTTGGCACACACTTGCAGTCAGGCAGTCACACTTGCAGCTTTTTCTTGGTCCTCTGTGTGGACTTATTATGTAGGAAACTGTTACAATTTCTGCAAAAAGAAAGCCAAAAAACATTCTGTGACCAAGTGGCAATACTGAACTTTATCAAAAATTGTCACGTTATTATCTTATTTACTTTGTGCCACTATTATCTACTTAATATATTTTTGGTACCACAATGATTTACATTGAATCCAGCATGTATCCTTGTGCTTAGCTGGTACCACAATGATTTACATTAAACATAGCATATATTCTTGTGCTTAACTGGTACCTCAATGATTTACATTAAACAGAGCATATATTCTTGTGCTTAGCTGGTACCTCAATGATTTACATTAAACAGAGCATATATTCTTGTGCTTAGCTGGTACCTCAATGATTTACATTAAACATAGCATATATACTTGTGCTTAGCTGGTACCTCAATGATTTACATTAAACATAGCATATATACTTGTGCTTAACTGGTACCTCAATGATTTACATTAAACAGAGCATATATTCTTGTGCTTAGCTGGTACCACAATGATTTACATTAAACAGAGCATATATTCTTGTGCTTAACTGGTACCACAATGATTTACATTAAACAGAGCATATATTCTTGTGCTTAGCTGGTACCACAATGATTTACATTAAACAGAGCATATATTCTTGTGCTTAGCTGGTACCACAATGATTTACATTAAACATAGCATATATACTTGTGCTTAACTGGTACCTCAATGATTTACATTAAACAGAGCATATATTCTTGTGCTTAGCTGGTACCACAATGATTTACATTAAACAGAGCATATATTCTTGTGCTTAACTGGTACCACAATGATTTACATTAAACAGAGCATATATTCTTGTGCTTAGCTGGTACCACAATGATTTACATTAAACAGAGCATATATTCTTGTGCTTAACTGGTACCACAATGATTTACATTAAACAGAGCATATATTCTTGTGCTTAGCTGGTACCACAATGATTTACATTAAACAGAGCATATATACTTGTGCTTAACTGTTACAATGATTTACATTAAACAGAGCATATATCTTTGTGCTTAACTGTTACAATGATTTACATTAAACAGAGCATATATCCTTGTGCTTAACTGGTACCACAATGATTTACATTAAACAGAGCATATATCCTTGTTCTTAACTGGTACCACAATGATTTACATTAAACATATATCCTTGTTCTTAGCTGGTACCACAATGATTTACTTTGAACTAAGCATACATCCTTGTGCTTAACTGGTACCACAATGATTTACATTAAACAGAGCATATATACTTGTGCTTAACTGGTACCACAATGATTTACATTAAACAAAGCATATATACTTGTGCTTAACTGGTACCACAATGACTTACATTAAACAGAGCATATATACTTGTGCTTAACTGGTACCACAATGATTTACATTAAACAGAGCATATATACTTGTGCTTAACTGGTACCACAATGATTTACATTAAACAAAGCATATATACTTGTGCTTAACTGGTACCACAATGACTTACATTAAACAGAGCATATATACTTGTGCTTAACTGGTACCACAATGATTTACATTAAACAGAGCATATATACTTGTGCTTAACTGGTACCACAATGACTTACATTAAACAGAGCATATATACTTGTGCTTAACTGGTACCACAATGATTTACATTAAACAGAGCATATATACTTGTGCTTAACTGGTACCACAATGATTTACATTAAACAGAGCATATATACTTGTGCTTAACTGGTACCACAATGATTTACATTAAACAGAGCATATATACTTGTGCTAAACTGGTACCACAATGATTTACATTAAACAGAGCATATATACTTGTGCTTAACTGGTACCACAATGATTTACATTAAACAGAGCATATATACTTGTGCTTAACTGGTACCACCATGATTTACACTGAACTGAGCATATATTCTAGTTCTCAGCTGGTACCACCATGATTTACACTGAACTGAGCATATATACTTGTGCCTAGATTTGGTACAATGATTTTATTTACACTGAATTGAGCAGATGTCCTTGTGCCTAATTAGTGCCACTGTAATATGAGACGCTACAGTTGTACAGTAATCAGCAGCCGTATCTACCAAACTGGTGGCAAAACCCAGTGTGGTCAGATTTTCAAAACCTGCCCTGCACTCCCAACCCAACCTTAAAATGGCTATCAGAAAATATTCTGATTGGTAAAGGCAATATTACAATCCATGTCAACCATTTGAAAACGTTGAAGAGGGGGGGGGGGGAAAGAAAGAGAGAATGTGTGTATCTGTAAAGGTCATGTGCAAAGGCAACCTGAAAGATGCCAACAATAGTGCAGACGCTTGGCAGAGATCATTTAGCCCAACTATGCTCCTCCTGCTTCCCCAGGTGCTAGATACTGTTATATACAAAATATAGGGCCAGCATCATATACCCACTTTGTCTCATAGTATGAACGAAACGTTCTTGACCTATTTATTTAGCAGATGTTACTGTTACTGCATGGAGTTGCATTTTACTAAGAAAGCAAGATAATCTCATGTGTGTTTGGCACCACACTGATCTACTTCTATCAAGCAGGTGCTGTCTCCACAATAAAGGTTTGCTGCAATTGATCTCCAAAATCTTTGTATCTTGTCTTAGTAGTATTCTCTCTCAGACTGCTGTTTGTTCATCTCTTGATGTTATCCTCCCACTTGTCTCGTAACCTCTCTCTCGTTTCCTTCCCTTCAACTTTTCCCTCCAGTAAGGTTTTTAAAAAAGAGTGTTTATCTAATGAGAATGACCAAAATATTTCAACTGCCTCTCTTAATATCTTTAAACGACTTTCTTTTCTCTCTTAGTTTCTTCAGAACTCTTGAACTTGATTGTTTTCTTTTCTATAAAACATAACATCATTCTGTATTTCCACACCTCCAGAGGCAATCTGATTTAATGATTCAAATAAAACTGAGCAAATAATCTTCTGTTTACCCAATAACACGGAAACAGGTAGCAAACAATTCTATATCTAACGTCTATTGATTAACACCTATAAATCAAGATTAATTACTTAATTTTCTGGCACACATATCAAGCAAGAATTAGACAAAACTTACACAAAGAAATCTAGCATGTGAATTGATTAAATCATTTGCCATTCTTGACATCCTCTAACTGCTGAACACACTCAATACGCTCAACTGACATGTCAGGGTTGAACTCTGTCACACAGCGGATGGCATCAGTCAGGGCCTGGTAACAGGAAATTATCAACAACAAAATTAAAAACATGTTAGCAAATTTTACATTCTGGAAAAGTCAGGATGTGAAAATGTTAAAATAACCCTGAGGTGAACAAGTTAAAATTAATGGTAGATGTGAAGGAGAAAAAAAGAGAGAGAAAATAACTCTGAAAGAGATTTACATTTTTTAAAATACATTCCTGCCAAGAGGTATTATTGCTCTGCTTACTATCTTGATGACAAAAATCGAAAGAAACAACAATCTGGAATAGTCAGATGACAAACCCTCACTATTGCTTGCAGATAAGAACTATGTGGGTGAAATCAATTCAACCTGAAGTAAATGTCTGAGAGAAATACAGAAAACTGAATTCCTACCAGGGTATCACTGCTCAAAAGTAAGAACTATCGGGGTCAGAAAAAGCTACAGAAACAAGGACAACTGCGAGAGACAAGAAATTGAATTAACAAGGACATAAATAATTGAACAATTTTTGAGACAAGAAGTTAAAAAACAATGATGACAGAATTTCAATTTAACTATGGACATCCCCCCCCCCCCCAAACAATCACTGAGGCTGAGAAGTAACAAAGGCAGAAAAGTGAAATTTGACACTAGGGCACAAGAATCAAAAGAAACAACAAAGAACAGATAAACTTTACAAATCTTCTTGACACACAAATATCTTACAAGTGATAAAGCTTAACTACTGGTAACCATGTTAGCCCTTATTCCCTCGCAATGTTTCTACTGTCAAATATTGTCCTCACCCAATCAGAATGTGTACCTTTCTTGAAAACCTCATAATAAACAGATATACTGTTGTATGTTTTCTGTTCTTGGTCGAGGACCAACAGAACCAAGACATTCTATCCTTTTACTATTCCATACCTTTTTTAATATCTGTCTTTGATTCTTATCTTCCTTATTCTTGTGGTCTCCCTTTATTTCTCTAACCCTGTGGATTCCTGTACAAGAATATTCAAGTCATACTTTTACCAGGGTTTCTATTTGTGTGTCTATCCAACACGTGTCTTTTCCTCACCTCTTGATTAAAAGCATTTTTTTTTTCATTCTTCCAAAAAGCTTAATTTTAAAAAAATTATGTCATACTCCTATTTAAGAAACACACACAAAAAACTCTTGTGTTTGTATAATATTCAGGACTGCCATATAACTTACAGCATCGAAATCATAATCATCGTCTTCATCTCCCGAGAAGGTACTTCTATTTGCCTTGGACTGAAAAGAAACAAAAACAATTTAAACATCATTACAACAGATGAAGATTTGCTGGCAATAAGACATAGCTAACACTAGTGCCTCAAAATGTACACTCAATTGTCAAATACCCATAGCCATCCATTTATTTACTCTAAGGACCTGTGCTTTCTGTGGTTGTGCTTTGTTTAGGCTAAAGTATAAGCACACAGCACTGGCTTGTCAAACACTAGTGACATAGCCATCAGAAACTATATTCTTTAATGGCAGTAGATAACATGCTGGAGGACAACATCAAGAATAATGTAAGCGTTTTGAGGCCACAAGGCCGGGACCAAGTCTTGCACTGGCCACAAACTTTGGAGCACTCCTTTGTGGCACTTTCTATCTTGACAGGACCCTAGCACTGTCTGTCTCTACTAGTGGGACTACAGTACTGTCTACCCAGACTAGGACTGACTGACTGACTTTCTACCCCACCAGGACATCACACAAGCGATAAATACCCGATGACACAAAGTGCCACCATGTGGATGAGGATCACCGTGGAGAGGTCCTAGAAACCGAGTTCAGACAATGGGCCATATTTATGGCCTGCCTATATTGCGGCCCCTGGCAAAAGCCAGTGTGGGGCTTCAAATAACAAAAAAATTCATCCTAAAAAGGACGACACTTGATAAAGTCGTAAAGATTACAATAATACTTATCAGAAACTAGGACCCCAGTACCGTCTATTTATACTAGTAAGACCACAGCACTGTCTACCCAGATTAGTATTCCAGTACTGCCTATATACACTAGTAGGACCACAGTACTGTCTATATACACTTTTAGAACCACATCACTGTCTTCCCAGACTAGTATTCCAGTACTGTTTATATACACTAGTAGGACCACAGTACTGTCTATATACAGTAGTAGGACCACAGTACTGTCTACCCAGACTAGTATTCCAGCACTGTCTATATACACTAGTAGGACCACAGTACTGTCTACCTAGACTAGTATTCCAGTACTGTCTATATACACTAGTAGGACCACAGTACTGTCTACCTAGACTAGTATTCCAGTACTGCCTATATCCACTAGTAGGACCACAGTACTGTCTATATACACTTTTAGAACCACAGCACTGTCTTCCCAGACTAGTATTTCAGTACTGTCTATATACACTAGTAGGACCACAGTACTGTCTATATACACTAGTAGGACCACAGTATTGTCTATATACACTAGTAGGACCACAGTACTGTCTACCTAGACTAGTATTCCAGTACTGTCTATATACACTAGTAGGACCACAGTACTGTCTATATACACTAGTAGGACCACAGTACTGTCTATATACACTAGTAGGACCACAGTACTGTCTACCAGACTAGGATTATCAGTACCTTCTATCTGGACTAGGTCCCAGTTCCATCTATCCAATCTGGCAACCCAGTGTAACTAATACTGTGCGGTAATTGATAGACTAGGCTCCTGTGCCATCTATCCACAGAGACTACTACTCTGACCACTAGTCAAATCAGCATTTCAGGTTCACCATTTCTCCTCCCTGATGTGAAATTCCAATATTGGAATTGCACAACTTGTTTGGAGAAGGGTAGGAGAGAAATGCAAGATGGCTACATCACCATGTCTTGGGTATCCAGTCATAAAGAAAGCCTCTACATGAACATAGCAACCACATTATGATGAGCATGTTTCAGCTTCAAACACAGCCCACCTGAATGTGACGGCATCAAACTTCAACCATAAACATAATCTGCTACAGGAATGTTATTTAAAACCAACCAAGCACGAACACAAGTTGAGACCAAGCTGTGGTCTTCAAAAACTTTCACACAAGCGTCAACTACAAAATGCATAAGCAATTAAACTGGCAACAAAAAATTTACTGAAAGGGAGAGAAAACAATTTACTGTGGCACAAACATTCTCCATGGTTTTAAAATATTCAATATTTGAAATGTAAGACAAGATACTAAATTGCTAGCACAAATGATAAAGACATAGTTGATTCAAAATTTACAAAACAGATAGCAAGTATATGGTTCCTGCATGGACAAAAAAACAAAAACATACAGGATGTCAGAATTTATTATACAACAAACTCTAATATGTGTATTTAGGTCTACCAATAAAATTTATAAAAAAAAACATGTCATAAAGTAGTCAGTCATTTATAGAGTATTACATAAAATTATACTCAGAATGTGTGGAAACTTGACTCTGTTGATGGTGGAATGTGATAAATTTAAACAAAGCTTTTTTTGCAAAACTGTTACTAATTAACTCAACTGGTTCTAAAGGTCGGCATTTTTGTGACACAATCTTAATAACGAAGTTGTGTAAATTTGCCGATTAAAAGTACCAACCAAATTACATTTTCCCATTTCTTCTTCTAAATTCGCCCTTAAAAGGGTGGTTGGCAAATTGTGTTGTGGTTTACAGACTTCAACATTTCTGCCCATCGGCCCAAAATATTCAATTTCAGCATTAACTGCCTTTTACTAAAACTGTGTGGCTAACTGGAAAATAGGGTATCCATCGTGTTAATTAAGTAGACAACTTTGCAGTGCTATCTGCTGTTAGCAGTAACACTACAGAAAGGAGCACTCACCTTGGCAATCTAAAAGATTGCTGAAGGTTGGGGTGATCAGCCATGTGGGTGCTGAAAGCAAAGGAAGACTACCACAAAATATATCTCTAGAAACTAAAAGGAAGCCAAAAGCACGAAGGGCTGGAGAATTGGCTAGATAAAGAGAGATTCTCAATCACGCCATGAGGAGAGCAATGTTCTATAAAAGATCTGCAGACATAATAACACTGGTAATATTCCACGTCCTTGATCATTTGTAAAATGGTGTAGTATAGTAGTATAGTGCCACTGCTGCGTGCAGTAGTAGGCCTTCACACATTCTAAGCCTGAAGTTAAGTGGCCATGAGGCCTTTTCTGCATGCAAATATTCTGGAGATTCTGCTGCTCACTTTTATGAGGTTAGGTTGACCCTAAAGGAAAAAAGATTTGACACTTAAGACGGCTCAAAATGGACCACTGGCTCGGCAGTCATCAAGTTCACTATCTACCACACTGTGTGCTTGTTTTATCATCACCATCATCAGTTTCTACTTCTGACAGCGACATAGGGATGAACACAGCTTCCGATCCATTGCTTGATGAGCTGCAACGGCTTTCATCATTCTGTGTTAGTGTAGAAGGTCTTTAATATCATCAGCCATCTTCTCCTAGGGCGACCTCTTTCTTTCACATCAGATCTTTTAAAGTGTAGTGCCTGTGTTGGTAGCTGGTGTGGTTGCATTCTAACAAGATAACCAAAACATTTGATCTTGTTTCTCAAATAATATGCTGCATGGTTATTTTTCCAAGGTTTGTCTGATGGTATCATTTCTCAAATTGTCTTGGATGGTTCAGTTTTCCTTTGGAATCTCATTTCACAAGTGTTAATTTTGTATACAAAATACAAAAAGCAGTGTATTTTGCACATTACTGAAATACACAAAATTCATAAATAAATGCAATGTGCCTGTATTATATCATCAAATCAGGAAGTTAGTCTGTCATTTCTTAATTTATAAAATGACAGTTCATTTAATGATTGTCATCACCTTTTTATTGTAACAAATCTGTCTAATCAAGTACAAACTACCATGTCCTCCTTTGTTAGTTTAAACTACAGGTACTCTGAGAATGACCAGACCAGCCTTAAACTGGTACCAGGAAATGTCCTGGGAAGTAAAGATGACCTAGGGTTACCAAACCAACTCAAAATGGATATCAGGGAAGGATGCTGAGGTGATCAACATGACAATGACCACATTACACATCCAGTACCATACGGATTACACAAATATTAGTCTAGCACAACATGCTTGATATGTTAAAGACGTGAACAGATTATTTTGATTATTCTTTTTAACTTAGAAAATAAGGAAGCTGCCATGGAGTAACAGGCAGACATTCACTTGACAATCCAAAGGCTGTAGGTTCAAATCCAAATAGAGCCGGGGGAAAAAAATTCCTTGGCTCTCAGGTCAGTCCAGCTTTCAATGGGTACCAGGCAAAGTCCTGCGAAGTAAAGGTGGCCAGTGTAATTCTGACCACATCACCCATTGTGCGGCAACTGGTCTATAAAATATAGATCTAGCACTATATGCTGCAACATGAATGACACAAATGTCAAATAACAAGACTGCTTCTAATGAGGTTCAGAAGGAATAAACCTTTTTTTTTTTTTTCGTTTTTTAAACTGAGGAATTTAGGTCCATAGATACAATCTTCACATAAGACTTCACAATTTATATTTCTGTTGAGTAACAATATCAGCTGCTGATTGTTTTCAGTGACATATATATGTTAACCAACAACATTAGGAAATCTAAAATGCTGGACTTACTGTATCTTCTGAAGGTGCTTAAAATGTGTGATATTCTGAACAAGTATACTACTTACTGTAGAAAGTAAGGAACTTAAAATGTGTGATATTCTGAACAAGTTTACTACTTACTGTAGAAAGTAAGGAACTTAAAATGTGTGATGTTCTGAACAAGTATACTACTTACTGTAGAAAGTAAGGAACTTAAAATGTGTGATATTCTGAACAAGTATACTACTTACTGTAGAAAGTAAGGAACTTAAAATGTGTGATATTCTGAACAAGTTTACTACTTACTGTAGAAAGTAAGGAACTTAAAATGTGTGATGTTCTGAACAAGTATACTACTTACTGTAGAAAGTAAGGAACTTAAAATGTGTGATATTCTGAACAAGTATACTACTTACTGTAGAAAGTAAGGAACTTAAAATGTGTGATGTTCTGAACAAATATACTACTTACTGTAGAAAGTAAGGAACTTAAAATGTGTGATATTCTGAACAAGTATACTACTTACTGTAGAAAGTAAGGAACTTAAAACGTGTGATGTTCTGAACAAGTATACTACTTACTGTAGAAAGTAAGGAACTTAAAAAGTATGATGTTCTGAACAAGTATACTACCTACTGTAGAAAGTGAGAAACATACATGGATGGTTTCAATCACTGCCTTGTTGCAATACTAAATCGTGTGTGAATACTTTTTTGTTAACTATATTAGTTTAGAAAAGAGAAAAAAGGCACAGAGATGGTTTATATATTTGTCTTTGATAGCAACAACAACAAAATAATGTGTCGCCAATGTATCTGTGTGAGACGATTTCAACCACTGTCCCTAGTTGCAATACTAAATATGGGTAACAAATTTCTATTGATGACAAATATACCAGAGACAAGAGGAACCTACAGGTATGGTATCAATTGTCTACTATCTCTGTCTCAAGTCGCTATACCACAATGTGTGTTGCAAATGCGTATTTTAAGATGCTGCTGAATGATGTTTGTTGACAACCATACTGTGCAGAAAATGAGGGAACACAACCTGCTTTAAACTCATGTTCCCTGTGGCAATACTGAAAATGTGTGATCAATTTTTTTGTTGACAACTGTAACAATTTGTAATTGTTAAAACTTACAGAGCTGGTTTTTACTGTACACAACCACTGTTTTTTGTTGCAATACCACAAAGTCTTTTACAATTGTAACTGTGTTCTTAAAAAAAAGATGCTTTAATGTTTGTGTTCATTTTGTTGTTGACAACTATAATAGTGTAGAAAAGTGAGAAACTTACAGGGATGCTTTCAAATGACTGCAATCTCAAGCTGCGAGACTGCTCACTCATCAACCCGTCATCATCCACCTCATATGTAGAGTTGCCCTGTGTGTATGAGACGGTGCGAGTTTCTGTTCTCACCAGGGGTACACTCCTACTGGACAGTGTCACCTCAGAGAAATTTGGGTTGTATTTGACCGTTTTCGTGGCAACTGTTGGTGCCTAGAACCCACAAAACCCCCAGGAGCACAGGAGATGAGGCCAAGGTCGCCAGACGTGCCCAACAGAAAAAAATAACGGGGTGGGGAAAAGAGGCAAAAAGAAAAGAATGAGTCCTGGGGCAAACAAGTTAGAGCAAGGGTTTATGACAACATCAATGTGCATGCACACACAGATAGAATGTTATATACATGTATGAGGTGCTGCCATCATTTTTTTTTAATATGATTATTTATGACACTTTAAAAGCATGCACAATGTATTATTCAGACTGCCATTCTCATCTCAAACTGTACATGTAGTCTCAAATAATGTCTTCATTTAGTGTCCATAAATATTAATATGTTTCAGTCTTTTTTTTTTAAATAAATGCGCATTTAAACTTCTTGTATTTGCCATTTTTTAGAACAGCAAAAGACCGAGGGGTATTGATGAGGCCGTTTTAGGGGCGCATGGCTGGTGCAGTCGCCAGACTGCAGGTTGCGATTTTAGTTCTGGCCGCCAAGAGGAAACACCCTCACCTAATCAAGGATTCTAACCCGGGTCTACCAAATTATAGCAGAGCATTCTTAACCATTTGGCTGGTCGCTCAACTCTTTGCATTAAAGTATACTTATGTTTAGTTTTAGCTGAAGGCTACTGGTAAATACAAGCAAAACAGATGACAATATTAGCAATACAACAGACTAGTGTCATCGTCCTATAGCCATTACTGAGAAACAGGTTAAAGCTCACAACAAATACTAGGAACCACAACAGCCCATTATCTAGTGCATATCTGTCTCCCAGCCTGGTATCTTGTTTTCAAATCTGCATCAGGGCAGGGATTTGCTTTCATCAAACCGGACTTCCAGATACCCCCAAAAAAATTGTTTTCACATGTCTTTACTACCAGAATTTTCTATTTTTAGGTCAGCACTGGCGCGCTAGCTTATGGGCCTAGGGAGTTAATTAAGCCCACATACTATTGCAGTAGCTAAAAACTCCTGATGAGGGTTTTTACTACTGCAAGGATCAGAAATAAAACTCCTTTCCTTTCCAAGGATTAAACATGGGTCTCCCGCGTGAGAGCCCACTGCTCTCACAACTTGACCAGCTGCTTCTCACTCCCAGGACGCCCTAAAATGGGTAATATTGAGAAAACTAAAAGGTGGAAGGTGAGATGGTAACATTATACTCCATGTGCTGACTGGTCTAAATAATATAGTTCTATCACCATAGACCCCCATCTCAAGGCCATCAAAAAGGATGTAACACTTAGTTAACATATGCTAGGTCCTTTCCAGAGACTGAATAGCTGCAACAACTTTACGAAGCTGGACTATAGTGCCGTGTGCAGTTGGAAGAAAGTGACTTAACTAGGGGGACTGAACTCCTAGCATGATGTAGGCAAGCTAGTGCACTATCTACTATTCAAGCGTGATTCGCATCACACATTACAATGAAACACAGACAATGACATTGATGGGAGCAGCAAATTATAATTAAAAATAATTAACGTCAGTTTATGCCAGTATTTGGTTAGGTCTGGTTATATGCTAGTAAAAAACACAAATATTAATAGAAGAAAAGAAAGAAAGCTTTTCTGCAACAGATTTTGACAGAATTAAGTGAATACTGCCATTTCAGCAAGAGTCAGACAGGGGCAGGAAGGCCTAGCCACCAGTGTTGAGTGTTTGCTTAGTGCTGGTCAGTGATCAGTCTCTACTGGAACTCTCATAACATTCTCAATTTAAAAAAAAAATGGATCCACTGCTGCCTAACAAGCATTGTATTCATATCATTGTCAACTAATTAGGGATGTTTCTTTCAAAATCGGAGTGCATCTGCCTAAGAGGTGAGCAACCAACACTCTTGTTCTGTAAACTGGATGTGCACGCAAAACTAAAATTCTGCAACAAGTCTAAAGTCTAGAAGTGGATGGACAAACAGAGCTTTCTGCCAGAGTTTAAAGCTTGTGAACACAAAGAAGAAGTCTGGTTGCGATCTAAATAACTTTACACTATCTGTGTTTTCCAGGGAACACAACCACTGCCCTCCCAACAAGCATTCTGTAAAAGGTGACTAATTAGGGTTTTTCCTGAATGTGTTAGGCCAAAACGCCAGATATTGCAGCCTAACTGTAAACCACAATTCACTGTGCTAACTGCCCCGTTTTGAGTACTAAATGAATGCGGGAAGTATGTTCAGTGTACTTACTCACTTAGTATTGGAATAATGTTTAGTGTGTACTTGATAAGTGTAGGAATAATGATCAGTTTGTACATTAATTTTAGAAGAAAGTCCAGTGTAAGCATAATGATTGTTGAAAGACAGTCTAATGCATAATTAATTAACAGTGGAAACAAAAATAATTATGAGTGTTGAAGATAAGTTTAACGAACAGAGGAGAACTTCTTAATTATGAGTGCTGAAGATTAGAGTGTACTATTTATTCATGAATAGTGTCCAAGTCCAAGTAAAAAAAAAATTTTAAAAAAAAAAAGCTTGACCACTTTTAATCTGCTGTTAGCTAGCCGACGCTGCCAAGTCTCTGATTATATTCGTTATCTAATTAATAGTGGAGAATCATCTAATTATGAGTGTTAAGGATAAGTGTGTTGATGACCAGTGGGAAAATATCTATGAGTATTTAGGTTGTAATTAATCTTGATTATGCCCAGTGTGAAATTAATGAACATTCAATGTGTAAGTAACAAATACTGTGTGTGTATTTAGTGAGTGTTGGTGACAGTACATAATGAATGTTTGTGAACACACAGCTAGCTAATTAACATTAAGAGAATGTGAACAAGAATGAAGAAAATACGTTTCTCTATTCAATTAAATATTCCTTAAATAAATTTTTTTTTAAAAAGGTTGGAATGCTCAGAAAATCAAACATAATTATATTTTTTTTTTTAATATGTAAGACGGATTGGTAAAATTATAAAAAGAAAAAATAGATGTAAAAGACAGACTGGTATAAGAAAAGTATAACTAAGAATGAAATGATCCAAAGCATGGAAGTGAATAACAGGTGAAGGCTAATACAAAATCTAAATCAAGCACACTATAAGACTAGCCAAAGAAGCATGCTATATATAAATTTGATTACAAAAATGATAAATTATAGGAAACCAGGATAATAATCATCATTTTAATTCAATGACTACATTCCCTGAGAAGTACACATTAATTAACTGAGGGGGAACTCTTGAGGACGTAAAAATATTATATACACGAGCTACAGGACAGGGGTTTGAGGTTTGAACAACAGATCAAGATCATGGCACACGGGTAGTAACCCAAAAGTGCTCCGTTCTGCTTCTGACTCAAGTCCGAGTCTGAATAAGTTATAGTACAGTGCACAGGCTCTGTAGCACCAGCGAGATCCTGAAATACTTTAGGTAGATTTTAAAAACCAAATTTTTGCCCGGGCAGTGCCGTCAGGCTACTTAATTTCCAACTGCCAAAGAATTGTTTACATGCACAATGATGCATATGGGCGTCAGTTCTCACTACCCAGAGATCAGGGGGAAATACTTGAAGTCCAGGTCCACGTGCAAAAATCCTTGCCCTTACCGGGGATTGAACCAGGAATCTCTAGCACTCGAGGCGGACACCATGCCTTAAGACCACGCAGCCCCCCAGAAGCACGGAAAGATCCTCAATAAAATACAACTGGCAAGGATCCATGGATCCCTTGCCAGGTTTTCACAGGCCAGACTTGGCCCGCCAATAGCCCTGCTTCATGTGGTCTCTATTTGTCCTTTGTAGGTTCCAGGCTAAGACTGCTATTCTGTTTAATACATATCTGTCTAGTCATTACTCTTTCATTTTTATCTTGTCTCCACCCCTATCAAAATGTTCTTCGCACCTAAAGTGCAGTTATTTTTTTTATTAAGTACTTAAAACATTTTAACAGTTTGTCCTTGATGGTGTGCTCAGAAAACATTTTAACAGTTTGTCCTTGATTGTGTGCTCAGAAAGCATTTTAACAGTTCGTCCTTGATGGTGTGCTCAGAAAACATTTTAAGTTTGTCCTTGATTGTGTGCTCAGATAATATTTTAACAGTTAGTTTGTCTTTGATGGTGAGTGATACCCATATTTGGCTGGTAGAACCCCCCCCCCCCCCCCCCTCCCAAATCTGGCCCAATGGTGATTCGAACACAAGACCACCAAGCTAGCAGATAGAAGATGCACCACAGCCACTGTGACTTCCTGATGGTGTATAGACTGTATGAATTCTTAAATTCTCACATCTCCTTGTGGATTCAGGAGCCACTTTGGAGGAGGAGGTGGAGATGGAGATTGAGGGGGCTCTCTAACAATCATGTTGTAAAAAGCTCCTAAGTAAAAGACCTTCCTTTCACAATCTGAATGCATGAGAGGCGAGAAACCAACAGTCTGCTTACGAATAAGCTGGATCTGTTAATTATATGCACAAGCCAAGCACAAGTTGTGGAAGAAGACTAGTCTAGAATTGGACGAAAAAGCGGAACTGCAGGAGTTTATAGCCATCAAGTCCTAAGAAGACATTCTCACACATAATACATTTTAAATATCTACACATTGTATTAAATACAATACTAGAAAGATAAGACCAAAGATAAAATTACATTTCAAAAAATAAAAAGGTAATTTGTGAAAACTGTAAAAAGGATTCTGGGTAAGCAGTAGAAAAACTGAGGAAAGGTATAGGATAAATAATTTAAAAAAAATAAACCTGAATGAAACCTACATTGAAGCTGTCATCCAATCCATGGCTGCCTTTGGGAAGAACAGGAGGAGGAACTTTAGGGCGGCCGACCGTGCTTGTGGCTGCAGGATGGAAGAAAGGCATCGTAGTCTCTGGCTTGAGACTCTCTTTAGTGCCCTGTCAATAATGCACACTGGATTACCAACTGGATTCAGAGGTGTAGTTGTTGATAATGACTAATATGGTTTTGGCTTAAAACTGCTACCAGGAAATTATTTAGTAAGTAAAGATAACCAGACTGACTTGATGTTGCTTGAATGCAGATTGGTCTATTAATATATGAGGGCTAGCAGCACCACATGACCACTAATTGAACACTTTATCATCCTCAAGTAATAGGGTTTGGTTTCCATGCTGGACAGCAAAAGAAAATATTCTCATAGTTTTTCAGACAGTAGTACGAGTCACACCAAGGAAGAGATTTGAGATTTACCAATATACCTGAAGACACCAGGGAGCAAACATTCACTGTGAAGAGGCACATACATTTTTTTTTCTTTAACAACTATGAATTATAATTATAGTTTTTAAATGACCTCTTTTTCATCTTAGCTCTCACTGGCTGTAAATTCTGGTGGAAAGTTCTAGTTATTTATCCACTTTTGGACTGGTTTTGTTCCAGAACTTAAATTCTGTGTGCACATCCCCATTTTACAGATACTGCTGTTATATGAGCAGTGGGTCTGTTCTTTTCTCCCCCATAAGTGCTGACATCTGCAGATGATATTCTTGCATATAGGTAGGGGAGAGAAAGGGAACAAACTGACCAGAAGCTACAGGCAACAGGAGACAAAGTGATTAACTGATGTAGAGAAATTAGTGCTGTCATCCACACAGAAAAGGCGTCTGTTATGAGGTGTTCTTCAGACAACAAACAGGATTGTTAGAGCTGAGGTCTCAGGTTTCACGACAGATGAAAGAAACATCAACAGAGAGGGCAAACTGAAGTATCTGGAAATCACATTTGACAGGAGCATGTCCTTCAAGGACCATGTGGAGATGGCTGTGACAAGATGCAAAAAGGGACTCAATGAACTTAAGACTATGGCTGTAATGGACATTGCAGAGAATGATTTTTACACTACATCAGCACTTGATCCTCTCAGAAACTCATTATGGGCTAGGACTGCTCACTGTCTCGAAGAGTCAACTGGTTAAACTAGAGCACATACAGAATGCAGCTATGCAGGTCATTCTGGGTTGTACCTGAGACACCCCAGTGGTGCGTATGTGATACAAGGATGTTTTGCCAACTGTTGCAGGTAGGCTCAAGATGCTGCAGATGAAGACATAACTCAGAGTAGCTGCAGACAAAGATCACCTTTTGCACAAAGCACTCGATGCATTCAAGGGTCTGCAGCTGATAAGAGGGAAGTCATGGATGGCTCAGGTGGAGGACATGATCAGATAGGTTTGCATCCTGCAAAACGTTAGGGGAGGAGAGGAGAGGAGTGGGTCAGAGTGCCAGCGGAACAGTTAGACTTGTGTAAAGTCATACACACTGAGCCAGGATTGCAAGGAGTGGCAAGCATGGAGGTGATAATTCTGCAATTAATTCAGGATAATGATCGCTAGGGTGGTGTGATTTTAGAGGTTCAGTGTAAAAAGGCAAAAGAAGTGTCTGGGGGTTCTCAGCAAAAGCCAATGGTTACCGTTGGTGCAGGAGAGATAAGCAAATAATACCACAACATCCAGCTTAAGAATGGAGATGGAGGCGGTCACTGCAGCACTTTCAGCTGGCTAGAGAACACAACACGTGATTGCAACAGACTCAGAAAGCCCGGTGGAGACAGGCGTGCTTCTAGAGCATGCATGCTTCGCTTAAGATATCACAGGGGAAGAGCACTGCCTGTATCTTTTTCCAGGGTATGCCGCTGTGTTGAGAAATAACATGCAGATAGACTGGCTGGCTCCGCACAACTTGGTAGAATACCAAGGCAGACTTAGTTAAGACTTTATCGGAGCATGTTTACAATTTAGAGGAGCAAATGGATCTTCACAATCTTGAGAGAGTGATGCAGCAAGGAGTGACGAGGGGATCCAGCTGATACTTGGCGCTCAGAAGAAAGTCAGGACGGATATATAATCAGACTGCTACTGGTACCACTAGTACTGGAACTTTGTGCTGGTTGCTAAGAATGGTGGTGGAGCATTTATGCGAATGCCCCAAGCACTGTGTCGGTTTTTGAATCAACTACACTCCCTAATAATTGGGCGCCACAACCCATTTAGGAAACATTTACATGAACAAATGGAATTAACAATCTGCACACAAATAAACCAAATATGTAAAACAGATGTGCACGCAAAACTCAAGTTCTGGAACAAGACCAAAGTCCAGAAGTGAAAGAACAACCCGAATCTTCTGTCGGAGTTTACAGTCGGTTAACGCTAAGAAGACCATAAATGTTTTTGGAATATTCTTGAAGCACCATGGAACAACCAAATGTCTGAGGAAATGAACAGAGTATGGGATTCAAGAGGAGTGAAGAAATGAAGGAAATATCTAGGCAACCACTAGTGTCAACGGTTATAAGACAGAGAGGAATGCGCAATGTGCTTGACATATCCTGGGAAGAAATGAGCAGAAAATCACTAATCAGGCACTAAAATGAGAAATAAGGAGATTAGGGAGGTGAGGACAGCTAAAAGAAACCATAAAATGAATGCTGATGAGAGAGGTCAAAGGGGATGGACTACATTATATCCATGATATTAAATTGATTGCACAATACAGAATGGAATTTTGGAATAGACTGCAAGGATAATCAATGAGTTGAGTCAAGAATTTACATAACAGCACTCAGGGCATTACCATGCATGCTTCATCCTCATCTTCAGCAGCCAGCGCAGAGTTCCAATACTGATGTTACCGGTCACAATCTGGTTAAATGTCGTCTTGCCTTTCCTCTAAGTGTAGTAAGCTGGCCAGACCCTGGTTACACCCAGGTGCCTCAGTCTCTCCAGGCCATAATAATCTTGTTTCTCTACTGATTCCATTGCGAAATCTCAAAGGGCCTTGACCACATCTGCTTTGTCATGTATCAATTCACCAAGGACAAGGACAATGAATCATGGAACAACCCTGCTGCAGCATCCCCCCCCCCCCCTCCCCCCACTGTTTATATATTAAAGAATCCAAGCTAGTCTCCATGCTCAGTTTTAGATGCAGATTTAAACTCAAGACCTTTGAGCTTGCAGGCAAGTATCTCGCCACTAAACCACCACGGCTTCCTTTGCCCCACACACATATAAAACAGGTAATTAAGAAATAAAAACCTGTTTAGACATAAAATGAACATACAACTAAAAATATCTGCACACTAATAGAAGATGCAAACATAACATCCATGTGATACTAACTTTGGGAGGTGCAGGAATGGGTATAAACCGGAGCTTGTTGTCAACAGATTTCTCTTCACCCACTACGCCAGTCATATCTCCCTTGCCGACACCGAGACCAACGCCATATGGCAGGCCAGGAGCAGAACTCAAAATGTTATTCTGTTTAAACAATAAACAAAAACAAATCTGTAACATTTTGTGTAAATGTAACTTCACGTAACAAATCAAAATATAATGCCTTCAATGCTGTTTTGTGTTTCATAATTTATAAAGTTAACAATGTTAACATTGCTTGTAAGTTCATTTTAACATCTATTATAAATAAAGTATGTACAATTTTAATCTATCTAGTCTTTCAGCAGTTTAAACAGTCTAACACAAACTACATGAATTGTTTTTAAACTGTTTCAAAATAGCCAGACACTGAATATCCCTAGTGATTTTAGTTCTTTAACTATGAAAGGCAACTGGTGAAGTTAAATTTATCAAACTTAGCTGATGGGGGGAAAAGTGAAAATATCTGGTCTTTTTATATGGTTCCTTTGATGAAGTTCATTTTCTTCTATTATTTAATAATTACCCAATTAATGAACTCATAAAATGTAATTAGCAACTGTAACTTTACATAAAAATAATTAAAAACACATTTCTAAACGATGAATTTCAGATTAGCACAACGATTGTGCATCCATTAAAAAAAAAATTAATCATCAAGATACAAAATGAAGCTTCCGTGATTCATACTAATAAAATTAGATAATCAGTATGCAGTTATTTTCAAAGCGACTATACAGAAAATGGAAGCAATACATGTCTCGTACAACAAATCGAAAGCAATTATTAACATGGTGAGTAGTTTACACAATGTTTATACATTAGTTTTAAGAACATTACCTACATACACAACTTTAATTTTTTTTAAACAAAAACAAAAACCCAAATTACTTTGTTAGTTGAACCAAGAATGAAGTAATGGTTACAATGTTCATTTGTCTTCTTCTGCTGTGTTCACCTTTAAAAGGGAAGTTGCCACATGTGGTTTACAGCTAGTAAACAATATATGCGGCGTCCGCGGCTTAGGCGTTGTGAGTCCGACTTCTAATTTTATTGTACCGCGATCAAAACCCACTGCTGACTGCGTAGATTTTTATTGGGGTATGGGGCGTCGCAGTTCGACCCAGCCTAAAATGGGTATCAGGATGGCTGTCCTGGGGAAGTAAAGACGGCCGGCGTAAAGCTGACCTCATCACCCACCTAGTGCCCATGGTCTGAAAAAATTTGGGCGCTCTTCCCATATGCCCGATGCACCTAAAGGCGTAAAAAGGGATCTTTACTTTTCTGTGGCGGAGCAGCTAGATGCTCGATGCTGATCGGAAGGTCGTGGGTTCGCTCCCTGTCAGAGCCGTACTTTTTTCAAAAATGCTCTTGACTCCCAGCCTTCAGTGGGTACCGGGTGCAGTACCGGGAAGTAGAGGCGGCCAGCGTGATGCTGACCACATCACCCATCTTGTGCCGATTGGTCTATAAAAGTATAGGTCTGGCCCTATATGCCTAAAGGCCTGGAAAAGGGTCCTTTACTTTACTTACTTTTTATACAATATATGCATCCAACAAATCCAGTTTCAGCAAACAATTTATTAGTCACATTTTACAACTAAGGAGTAGTAGGTCTGTTTTTACCCCTAAGACGAGTTCAAAACTCACATGTGAAAAATATACACATGATTAATTAGACAAAAAAGAGTTTAACTTCAGGGAAGTCAATGGTGAGGATATGACAAGTGGAAAAAAAAAAAAAAATTAAACAAGAATTTGTAAAACTTATTAGAACAGGATTTGAACCACTACTGAAGTCTGCAGGAATGTTTTCTGACACGCTGAAGTATCAAGGCCAGGTTGTCCATGTACTGTACAGGCCAAGATAGAAACCAATATCTAATAGGGAACTGAACATACATCCCTCAATACAGCAACCTAACCACTCAGTCCTGCACCTCTAAAATATGACTATGTAAGTGGAAAGTAAAGGTGGTGTTGTGTTCAGCCATTCTACGCTATGACATATATCGTGTGAGACCAGAAAAAGAGGAGGAAATAACAAAGAAAACAATTACATAATTGAAGAAGTAATTAATATGGCCAAAAGATTTTTTTTAAAAAGAGAGAAACAGCCGATAGAAAAAAATATTAATGATTTTTAAAAAAAAAATTAAAGAAAACTTAACTGTTCAACTACATATTTTTAAAAAAAGGGGGAAAAAGATGTAACAAATCAGTTAACACGGTTCATGTCTGAATGGTCAGGAGAGTTATGGCATTAGGTATAATATGGTTAGGGGTTAACACAATAGTTCAGTCTTACTAATCATTTTATCTGTAAATTATGACTGCACCATTAGGGATATTCACCATCAATGTTTGTTAACTTCTGATATAATGCACCATGGCTAGGAACAGTTTTCAATCTGCTTGATGGATAGCACTGGCTATTGTCAGTTGGTACGGATGTATAACCCATCTTCTCCTTGGACACCCTCTTGCTTTCATGAGAGATCTTTTAAATGTAGCACATGTAGTGGTATTTTTTGTGTGGCTGCATTCTAATGATATGACCACAAAATCTGAAATCTGACTCTGAATTATTTTCGCAAAAAGGTGTTGTCCCCAGTGTCTGATATCATCATTTCTCACTTGGTCTTGGTTTGGTAAATCGGCAGCTTTCCTTAGATATCTCACCTCACAGGAGTTAAATTTATGCAGGTGAGCCTTTGATAATGTATTAGGGTTAATGACACTGCAAAATGATGCAGAGACAATAGTCCAAGTCCTGATAAATGTATTAGAAACAATGGCACGGCTATCCTCAGAATAACGTTCCCAAATTATCAAGGCTTTAAAAAATACCCTAACAGAGCCTGAATCATATGTTAATTGCGGACTCATTTCCAGTGAATATACAGCATACCGTTGGAAACACTCCTTCGAATAACAGTCCCAAATCATTGATGGTGTCAACAGCTGATACTGAGTGCTAGGTTAAACTTCTCCCCTGGGTCCTAGGTTTAGCTTCTTCCCTGGGTCCTAGGTTTAGCTTCTCCCCTAGGTCCTAGGTTTTTCTCCCCTAGGTCCTAGGTTTAGCTTCCCCCTGGGTCATAGGTTTAGCTTCTCCTCTGGGTCCTAGGTTTAGCTTCTCCCCTGGGTCCTAGGTTTTTCTCCCCTAGGTCCTAGGTTTAGCTTCCCCCTGGGTCATAGGTTTAGCTTCTCCCCTGGGTCCTACGTTTAGCTTCTCCCCTGGATCCTAGGTTTAGGGTTCGGGCAAGGAGTATTGCAATTACGACACCACCACCACAATCTGTCATGCGATGTTACCATGGCGACACTAGTCGTGCAGTGTTTACTGAATATTTAGCGCAGTTTTCTGGCGGAACAGTCATAAACATTGAGGCCCTGTTAGGGGTTTTTTAAAGCCTCGATAATTTGGGACCGTTATTCTGAGGATAGCCCAGTGGCACTTTAAAATTATGCAGAAACAATAGTCTGCGGTTCTCTCAAAGTCAAAGTCGAGAGGATCCCCTTCATTGCTCCAGGTTTTATTCCATATGGCTCGGTTTCACTCCGCAGAACAGCAAGCTGCCTGCCGAGAACATCACAAAAAAGACAAACTCCGTAGCTCCGGTGACGATCCTCACTCTTGAACTGAACAGTTCAGCTCTGAAGCGAACGCACAAACTTCATAGCATGAGGCAAATAGCTTGACCACTTCACCACAGAGACCCCAAATCGCAGATCTCTATGATATTTCAGGTTAATACGCTTGCAATAAAATGCACTAATTTTAATGACATGTGAGAAGAGTTTAAGTTTCTTTGGCTCCTTTTCTTCTTTCCTCTGTCATTCTCATTTAATTGTATCTCAGAAGACACAAAATTAAGCCTTCTCAAAACGGATCAGCGTCAGTATGTAAACAGGCAAACATTTCAAACTCAAACAGAAAAAAAGATGCGGCTGTTAGCAACACACAAATGAGGGACGCATTTTAATAATTTATTTGTACAGTTTGTCTCACACAAACATATACATGATGCAAAGCCTGTGCGGGTGCTATATAGAAATATGCAAACTAGCCAAACGGGGGTTGCAAATCAGCCCAAATGAGTTCTGTATTGAAAGTTGCAACTAAGTCTATACTGGAGCAGCATACAATAATCTTAAAACTCATATCCCTGCCTATACAAATATGCACATCTCAAACAACAGCAAGAACAACAAGTTAAATCATTTAAAGAAACAGGTCAGATGTTCTGTTTACACAACTGATGCAAGCCAACATGTCTGAGCTAGCACCAAATTAATCAAGCTCGCATTCAACTCCAGTATCTGATTATTTCTCAGACTAGTAGCAAATGCAAATTGCAACAACTGTTACAGTTAGTTCACTTCAACAACCAACCATCAGCAAATCCATGGCGTGTGAGTGTCACACTTTAAAAGTGGTGAGTAAACAAGAGATGCATCAGATGGCCAAAGAACATGCTCATCAAGAATATAACCTGACTTTCAGCCACCAGGGCCAGTGGCTCCACCCTGTGAGGACCTATGATCGGTTCATTAAGAATAGCTTCAGCAATGCTGGATGAAGATGATGATGACACTGAAATGCCGTCATTACCTCCCTTTGGAATAAAAGTATCAAAACTGAACATTGCATATGAATGTGTCTTTTTTTTTTTTAACACTGAAGGACTGTCAAGTTCTTGCATAAATAGGTGGATACATGTGTGAAAACCAAACATCACTAATTAATTTTTCTTTTTACTTTTTTAAATAATGGTAAAAAGACAAAAATAATTGTCAAAACTTAATGCTGCTAATTAATGTAATTTTTCTAACTGAAACAGTGTTAAGAACTTTTATAAAAAGATACAAACAGCACAGCTTGTGAGGGTATGAACTGCTTAATAACACACACAAACAGACAGCGCACGCTCACACAAAAGAAAGTATGAAATATATCACTTCTAGCAACCATGCTACAACAAGCCAGGAAATAGATACAATTCTATTCTTTCAACAGTGGCACAGTTATAGCAGTCAAAGCATTCAAATCACAGAAACAAGTAACAGTAAAACTGGCTGGCCATAAAACCACTAGATGACATTTTAAATCTTGAATCCAGTTAAACCTTGGAAAGGCTGACTGTTCAATGCTCCGTGACTCCCAAAAGGATACTGTATGTATCAGAGAGTGGTTGGTGTCAACTTCAATTTGAGAGGATCAACTTCATTGCACTAGATTATCCATCACTCAGCATCTCTCTCCTGGAGCATATAGCCACCTGCCAAGAATGTCACACAAAGCCATCCCCAGGATGCTGTTGAAACTTTACCCCTGACAAGTATCAAAGTACCACCTCTGAAAGGGGAATGCTGCAAAGCTTTCCTTCTCCTCTCCAAGATCAGAGAAGTGCTAGAGAAACGCAAGACCTGTACTGGAAGTATACATATGCAAAGCAACATATCAGATGATGTCAAACTCATGATTCAACATAGCACATGCAGACTGGCTGGGATGATGCCCTGGTTGGAAATATTCCCTCCACAGGTTTTAGATATTTCACTATTAACAGACCTCAATCAATGCCCAGAAGAAAGATATAGCAGAGTAATTGTGTATGGTTAAAATAAAATAAATCAAAATGCACACACGAGAACTGTTACATCTTAGCAAATAAAAGAATTAAAAATTAAACAAGCATGCTGTTAATCAACTAGACAGAAAAGATTTTCAACTATTTTCCAGAAAGTTGTTAACATAATTATGCGTTAGTTATATAATCTGTCTATATACTTGTCAGTGGATGTGAGACTGTCATGCAGACTTACAATTATTTTCCAGTTATAACCCAGAAAGGTTGAACAGAATATCTCTGATGAAGTTACTAAAATATTTCACTGGTATATTCACTAGAACATGAGAAACTGTCACTGTTGTGGATTAACTCAGTCTCAGATTTCACTGGTATATTCACTAGAACATGAGAAACTGTCACTGTTGTGGATTAACTCAGTCTCAGATTTCACTGGTATGTTCACTAGAACATGAGAAACTGTCACTGTTGTGGATTAACTCAGTCTCAGATTTCACAGCAGATGTTTAAGGGGGAAGTCAGTATGTAAAACCATAAAATTTAAAAACTATGAAGCCTTATTTTCACAGGTCAGAGACGTGGCTCAATGTTTAATAAAAAGTGTTTAGGGTGGGGGGATATTTTATACAACAGCCTCCATTAATGCCGACTCTTATTCTTTTTATTCATGATCTCTTTTCTTCCTCATTAATGATAGACATACAAGAAATATAAATTATGTTAACGACTAATTCTGGACAAGACTGCATGTGTGCTGACGTGTGCGCGGCCACATGCGGTTGTGTTTTTTTTTCCTGATAACAAAGTGTGTTTATTACTAATTCATTCACAGTGGATATTTTCTTACTCATGGAAACCAAGTATTCTGTGGTTTAGGGGTGTTATGATGAAATTAATTCTAACAAACAGCCACAGTGGTGGCCGCGTCTTAATATCGATAATTTAACCGTAGAAGCCAGGCTCCAATTATAAATATGGGAGTCCACGAGTAAGACCGCAGTCTACCCTAGCAAAATAAGGTGCTGAAGTCGGAGGCAACCAGCCAGGAGGCGCAGCACAGCAATCAGGATGCCACGCACAAACGCAACGGGGAATATATCTATATCTGCAAATTAGTATGATTCTCACCGTGTTACTCACGTACACGTGGTACGCCTTACGTTTAGTAGAAAGGGTCCAGCTTCAAATACTGGAAGCCACCCCCAAATGCCCCGTAAAACTAGAACAGCAGAAAATACAGCTAGTCTTAAAATAATGCACTGGAACATGGAGGGAGTAAATACTAAGAAATTAGAACTAGAAAACACTTTGAATAAAGAATAGATACATGTTTGCTGCCTTCAAGAGACATATCTCAAACAATACATGGCTTTCAAGATCAGAGGCTACCAGTGTTTCTGATCTGACCACAAAGACAGGAGAAAAGGTGGAATTCTTACCCTGGTCAAAAAAAAAAAAAAAACACCCTGCAGGCCAAATTGAAACATATATGCAGGGTGCTGAGTATCAAACTCTTAAGCTCAAGACAGAAAATACAGATTTACATCTGATCAACTATTACTGTCTGAGCGACCGCCCTCAGGCACTGGATAAAGTAACAGCAAATGAAAGAATTATCATTTGTGGGGATTTTAACGGACCCCTGGAAAGAGGAGTATAAGTTTCCAAAACACATCAAGACAGAAGTGAAAGGAGTATTTGATAAGAAAGAACACAACAGTGTGCAGCATAAAACAGCTCCCCTTAAGTCTACTTGATTATGAATACCCGCAGAATCTGTGGGTCCGTGTTTACACAGATGGGTCAGCAGAAAGTGCAATCAGAAATGGAGGTGCAGAAGTGTACACTGAGCATCCTAATAATACTAGGGATTCAGTCAAAATACCAACAGGAAAAAAACTGTCACAACTATGATGCAGAAGTTCAAGCCATCAAGATAGCAGTAGAGAAACTACTAAATACCGGGTATTTTTCCACAACCAGTGGTTTTCCTGACAGATGCAAAAGTGGTACTTCAGGCATTCCAGTCTGGAAAATTACCAAGCAAACGGACACTATTATCCGAACTAGGCAACCGTTTTAATGTAGTTATGCAATGGATTCCTTACGACTGTAGAGTTCCCAGAAACGAAAGAGCTGATAAACTAGCTAAGGAAGGTGCAACTGAAGAACAACCGGACATGTCAGTCTCTTATCAACATAAGAAGAGAATAATCTAATCAATCAGAAAGCCACCGAAACTGGCACAAGACGATTACCCCATTATGGACAGACAAGAGCAAGTCATTATCCTTCGCCTTAGAACAGGACACAATCAACTTTGCTGCCACATGTACACAAAATTTAAGATTAGCAAATCAGCCATGTGTACCTGTGGAATGGCACCTGAGACAACAGATCATATCCTCCCTGACTGTTCCAGATTCAACGCTTCCAGACAAAACTTCTGGCCATAAGAGACAATTTTGAAAGTCAAACTTTATGGGCCACTTAGTGGATTACAAAAGACCTTGAAGTTCATACTAGAGACAGCATTGCAGATATAGATAATTTATTTCAAGCAAACGAAAGAAGAAAAAAGAACAGAGAGAGACAGAGAGACAGACAGACAGAGAGGGGGAGAGAGAGAGAGAGAGGGGGGGGGGAGAGAGAGAAAGAGAGAGAGAGAGAGGGTGGGGGGGGGGGGGGGGGGGGGGGGGATTCTAACCTTGACTAAGTGTCAACATGAAACAGAAGCAAACAGAAAAATAAAAAACATATAAATACAGCATACCATATCATGTGTAAGTCTTAAGGATATCTTTAAATAGATTTTTTTTAACTGATTATGCAAGTCAATAAGAAAACGAGTAAACTCATTTAACTATGTGCCTAAGCTGGGTCAAACGAAACTAGCAGCTGATAATTATAAATTAGGTATTAAAAACTACTTCTATGTTAGAAGAAAAATGAAAGCAGAAAGTATGACGCAGACCACAGACTCATCATATACATGAAGATGAGATGCAAGCTATATAATCAAGCATACAAATCTACCTACTAGGAAAGATGATATGCACTTCCAAAATGCTCTGATATAAAGGAGAAAATTGTAAAAGTTATAATGACCTTGTCTTTCTCGTCTTTGCCCACTTTTCCTCTTGGACTTTCTTCTGCGTCACTGTCTTTGCCACCTTTTTTGATCCGGCTGAAAAGCCCACCCTTTTTGTCCTTCCGGGGTTTTCCATGTCTGTCCTTGCCATCTCTGTCATAGCCATCTTTGTCATAACCTTTCCTGTCATAACCATCTTTGTCATATCCGTTCTTGTCAAAGCCATCTTTGTCGTAACCGTTTTTGTTGAAGCCGTCTTTTCCATAAGGTGGCCCGTAGGGGTTCTTCTTCCCATTCCGATCAAAGCCATCTCTGTCGTAACCATCTTTGTCATATCCATCTCTGTCAAAGCCATTTTTGTCATAACCATTCTTGTTATAACCATCTTTGCCATAAGGAGGCCCGTATGGGTTAGGCCTTCCATTTCTGTCATAACCATCTTTGTTAAAACCATCTTTGTCATAACCATCTTTGTCAAAGCCATGCTTATCAAAGCCATTTTCATTGTAGCCATCTTTGTCATAAGGAGGAGCATAAGGATTCTTCCTTCCAAATTTATCTAGATCATTCTTGTCATAGCCATCTTTGTCCCTGCCATCTCTATCAAGACCGTGTTTGTTATAGCCTTTGTCATTGAACCCATCCTTACCAAAAGGAGGTCCGTATGGGTTTTTCTGTCCTCTCTTGTTAACACCCTTTTTGTCGAAAGCATTCTTGTCATATCCATCTCTATCATATCCATCTGGTTTATAGCCATATTTATTGTATCCATCTTTTCCAAATGGACCTGCATAGGGTTTTTTCCTTCCCTTGATGTCAACATCATTTCTGTCATAGCCATCTTTGTCATAACCATCCTTGTCATAACCATCTTTGTCATAACCATTTGCATTAAACCCATCTTTGCCAAATGGAGGTCCATAGGGTGTCTTATTTCCTTTCCGATCATAGCCATCTTTGTCAAAACCATCTTTGTCATAACCATCTCTGTCAAAACCATGTTTGTCAAAGCCATTATCATTGTAACCATCGGTGTCATAAGGAGGAGCGTAAGGGTTTTTCCGGCCATATGTGTCGAGATCCTTCTTGTCATAGCCATCTTTGTCCCTGCCATCTCTATCAAGACCATGTTTGTTATAGCCTTTGTCATTGAACCCATCCTTACCAAAAGGAGGTCCGTATGGGTTTTTCTGTCCTCTCTTGTTAACACCCTTTTTGTCGAAAGCATTCTTGTCATATCCATCTCTATCATATCCATCTGGTTTATAGCCATATTTATTGTATCCATCTTTTCCAAATGGACCAGCATAGGGTTTTTTCCTTCCCTTGATGTCAACATCATTTCTGTCATAGCCATCTTTGTCATAACCATCCTTGTCATAACCATCTTTGTCATAACCATTGGCATTAAACCCGTCTTTGCCAAATGGTGGTCCATAGGGTGTCTTATTTCTTTTCCGATCATAGCCATCTTTGTCAAAACCATCTTTGTCATAACCATCTCTGTCAAAACCATGTTTGTCAAAGCCATTATCATTGTAACCATCTTTGTCGTAAGGAGGAGCGTAAGGATTTTTCCGGCCATATTTGTCAAGATCCTTCTTGTCATAGCCATCTTTGTCCCTGCCATCCTTGTCAAGACCATGTTTGTTGTAGCCATCGTCGTTGAACCCATCCTTTGCAAAAGGAGGTCCGTATGGGTTTTTCTGCCCTCTCTTGTTTTTGTCATTTTTGTCAAAAGCATTCTTGTCATACCCATCTCTGTCATATCCATCTGGTTTATATCCATTTTTATTATATCCATCTTTTCCATATGGGCCTGCATACGGTTTCTTTCTTCCTTTGATATCATAGTCATCTTTGTCATAGCCATCTTTGTCATAACCATCTCGGTCATAACCATCTTTGTCATAACCATTATCATTAAACCCATCCTTGCCATATGGAGGACCATATGGTGTCTTCCTGCCTTTTCGGTCATAACCATCTTTGTCAAAACCATCTTTGTCATAACCATCCTTGTCAAAGCCATCTTTGTCAAAACCGTTGTCATTATAACCATCCTTTCCATAAGGAGGGCCATATGGGTCGTATCTTCTTTGGCGTCCCTAAAGTAACACAACACAGGGGTAGTTGCATGTTAGCTGTGTGGCATATCTTATTCAATTTAACACACATGTACAACAGTGGCATTCAGCTAATACTGTCAAACTGTTACTGAATCTATTTTATCACAACAAACAACAGCAAATACTCTTCATTCAAGGCAAACACTTATCTGCATGAATGCAAATTATCATGCGCTGTGGACTAAACTGTACTTCATAAAAGCCATCTCTACTGACTAACACTATTGACTTTCAACCACTTTCCCATAATTTTATGAGCTTCAGCTGTACATTTTAATAAAAAAAATTTTTTTTACAAAATAACTTTCTCTAATATCACAAACACATTTTTTTTTCAAGCAAATATTTTCCACTTCCACTTCTCCTGTACTAATTTCTTTTTTCTTTTTAGTTATCTTTGTTCCTTCTCTTCTATTCCAGAAACAGAGGCAATGTCTTGTGTTTGAACAAAATGGAGTGACTGACTGTGAGCTCTATAAGATATATAATGACACCATGGATAATAAATACATTATCATTGAATCATTGGTTTATCAAGAAATTATACATACAGGAACTAAAGAAACTGTGCAGACCAACTAGACATTGGACTAAAACAATAGTCAGAAATGTAGCCTATATGTATAGTATTGAAACACTGACTCTTAAAATGCAAAACAAAACAAAAAAACAATTACTTTAGTTTTTATTTCATAAATCCTTTTAACATGTAAACAGGCTCATATCTGAAGGAAACCTGTATGTGGTAAAGACATTCACATAGATATTCGCATCTATAACTGTGTCTCCTAACCCTTTGAAATTAAAAGTTTCTTCATACTCACGTAGAAGAATTCATATGATGATATGCTGCAGAACCTCCTGCCATATGTCCCATACTTTTTCATTTGTATAAATCTTCTTTACATGTAAGCAGGCTCATAGTGGAATGAACCCTGCATACTGTGAAGCTTTTCACATCAATAATTGTGTCTCACATAAGAGAATTCACATGGTGGTGACGGTCATTGTTCCCCTCCAGGATTTGTTTAATCATCAGCCACCGGGTCACACATTAGCTCGCGGGTGGGTGACTTTGTCGCTGATCAGGACAGTATTTGGGTCTGTCTCCTTTGATGGCATCAACACAGCAGGAGTCATTTTCAGGGCTCTTGGCGGCGTGCAATAGTAAGCCATTTTATACGGTGCACATTACCTAGTGACAATTATAACCTAAAGCTTCCTCTTCGGGGGATGCTGCCTGAACGTGATGATTAATTTTGTTTTTTTTTCTTAATATGCAACGCGTCAGATCAACTACTGTCCTGTAGATTAGGTACTGTTCATCTTGGGTGTAAATCTTAAAGCATTCAAGATTACCATGATGCAGATGAACACTACAGAGACTACAGGAGCTATATATATACACTGAAGTTACTGTAACAGTTATACAGGGAATAACATTGGGTTTCACATAAATGCAGGTCAGCTTGTGATACAGATACAACAGAACTATCAAGAGGTTTATTGCAGGGAAAACAGCCGGGCAGGTCTTATGGTGCTTTTTTTTTAAGTACGATTTCAATGCAACTTTTTAAATCCTAAAAGGAAGTCTGTAGCACAAGACTAATGTGTCTTTACAGACGAATAACTTCAATGTGTCGTTATACATCTCAACATCTTCATGTAGCAGGTCCTTTGCAGAAATTCACTCTCATCAAGGCATGTTGGAAAGCCGCTCTTTTCCTTGCAAACTTTCTGGGCCTATAAGCTTTTATTTTATGTCCCAAGTGCCACTGATATCCCGTGTCCACCACTGTCATGGTCAACACCTTCTTCTTCTCCAGAAAACATAGCCTCAACTAATGTTTTCTCAGGCACTACCAGGGCTGAAGTATTTCAGTTCTCAAGAAATGATACTGCTTAAATGGTCAGCTCCCAGCAGGTCATATTCTGTGTTGTGGGGGTGGGGAAATAGATCCTGTCTATCAGCAAGTCCCACTCTAAGTTAAATATATATTGCACAAGTGTGTCTTTATACACCATGTATGACTTTAACAACAGACTAACTTTCATTTCACTGGGTGGTCATAAAACACAAAACAACCTAGCTACTTTGATACAATAACTGAGCCAACATGAATTTACTGTGTCTTGAATATTAGTATACAAAACAACAAACAATACAATGCATGCAGAAATAACAAATATATGTTACATGAAAAACATATTTAAACCACAAAAACACACACCATAGACTGCAAATTTGCTGAAATGGACAGAAACCTTGAACAAAAGAACAGTGCTGCAAATAATAATTCGAAGTTGGAGTAAAGAATATGAAATGCATGTGTATGTGTATGTCCAGTGCTTTAACTGCACCAACAAAGCAGCAACTGTTTTGAAACATAAACTGACTGCATATTTTGTGGAGCAGAAGAAAACTATATAACTTGTAAACATCACCGCTAGTAAACATAAACAACTTACGCCTTCAAGTGGTGCAGATCCGGGGCTAACACCAAACGCCGTCTCTGTGGCAGGATCGTATCCCTTTAAATACAAAGACAGCAAGCTCTTACTCACGTGACTTTATTGCAAAGGAAAAGGATTAAAATTAACAAAACAGCATATACTGTTGCAACAATATATGAATTGTTAGTTTAACTACCTCCCAGGTCCACCCAGCCTTAAACTGGTACCAGGTAAAGTCCTGGGAAGTCAAGGCAGCCAGCATAATGTTGACCACTCACCCACAGATGATTGGCCTATAAACTACAGGTCTAGTCCTTTACTCCTAAAGGTGGGGGGGAAGTGTCCTTGACATAACCTCTGTGCAACTGTGTGTTTGTTAAACTAACTTTAGATCTAGCTAAGCACATATTGCTTTTCATTTTCAGCTCAATTCCTTGGGACAGATGGAGCTAAGCATAACAATGGCTTGGTACTTAAAGAGTTATTGCATATACAAGTTCACGAGTTTATGACAAGAGGTAATAATCACCTACATCTAATTTCTTCTTATTCAGCTATTATCTTCCAGTGAAGCACAAACCTCTAATAAGCTCAACAAGCTGTCCGATCATAAAACAGCTTCTCTCCATGTCTCTAAATATTATTATACACTGGTCTCTAGTTTTCTTCTAACTGGCTCTTACTTCACCTATTATGTCATAAAGGATCAAGTAAAAAGGCATTCAAGTTCGGCTATTACTAGGTTTCCCCAAGTGTGTCCTATACAGGGCCAGCTGTTTCAATTCACCTCTTGATTCACTGGAATGTGTATAGTTCTCTCCCTAAGCTTTTTATTTCTTCATTTTTTTTCATTTTACTTATTTGTGTGCAGTTTGTTGTTCCCTGTCGATTGGGCTGATGCAATCCGACTTTGACTGTAACCTCCAATTTGTCTACCCCTACAACATGCTTGTTGGAGAGACAGTGGGTCTATTCTTGTTTTCTCCACAATGGGTCCTTGAAACCCACATGTGGCTCCATAAGCTCAACATTAGTGTTCTGTCACATTATTTGGTTGCTTCAGCTACATTAACAGTTTCAGCTAATTGGTAGCTACCCCCCCCCCCCCCCCCCCTTTCTGATTTCCCTAATTCAGAGATAAATATAGTACACATTTTTATAATGTGGTCATCAAGATAAAATATAATATGGTTTCAGTCAAGAAAAGTATTCATATGTAGTAAACCAGATCTGGAACTGCTACAAACTGAATGCAACAATAAGCTGTCTACATTTATAATCAATTTAAAAAAAACTGTAATACATATTTATTAGCCCAACACATTTATTGGTTAATATGATAATTTTGTATGAATAACTAAATTCAGTATGCTCATAAGAGCTATGCTACAATGTCTATGACGAATAAACACACAAATTAGTCAGTTCTGCAGGATACACTGTCTACAGCTAATAAAACAATAACTGCTGAGAATATAGATGCTGAAAATTAGTGAAAAGGCACAGGAAGGTATGCAGACACAGTGTAGAAATATAAGAAGACAGGTTATAGAAATGGAGCAGAAATGGTATAGAAATATGAGCAGACAGTATAGAAATATAAGCAAACAGTATAGAAATGTATGCAGTAAAAGTACAGAAATGTAAGCAGACACAGTACAGAAATGTATTTTTTTTTAAAATACATACAGTACAGAAATTACTCAGCATAAACATACGAGATCAGTGTTTCCCAACCTTTTTTGTGCCATGCCCCACCTAAGCCTTTATAAAATCCCCCCTATGTAACATTGCCAAACGGTTAACTTAAACTATGGATAAGCTTATTTTCAACTCCTTCCCCACCCCCCCCCCCCCCCCCCCCACCCCCCCCCCCCCCCCCCCCCAGGATGTGGGTCCCACGTTAGGAAACACTGAACTAGATTATGGCAGGAAAGTGTTTCCGAAGGATCTGAACAAGACCTCTTATCAAGTATGTTTAATTCAATTTGCATGATTTTCTGAGTGAAACAGACGAGAAGTGTCATCAGCGAAGTTTAGATCATTTAGCTTAGACATGAGAGATAGCTTAATGTAAAAGGTATTTAAGCATGCCGATATATTCCTAAATTTTGTGTTAGAATACGTCTGGGAGGAGGAAAAGCAGACGCCACTGCATGCATACTTCCATGTGTCATGTTTATGACTGGAGTAAATCATTTTCTACAGAGCTTTCGTAGCCAGCAACATGCAAGTCCTTTTATTTACATTCAAACAGCCCTCCCCAGAAAAAAAAAAAGAAAAATGAAATGTCACAAGACATCTCTGCAAGCCAAGTCAATGAATTTGGAAGAAAAAAAAAGAAACCCACTTACAATTTTATCTCCCCTGTCTTCTGAGGTCTCCAAGTCTCCTTTGCCTTTCTTCTTTTTCTTTTTCTTCTCTTCTTCCTCCCTCTTCTTTTTCTCTTCAGCCTCTTTCTTTTTCTTTCTTTCCTCTTCCTTTTCTCTCTTTTTTCTCTCCTTTTCCGTTTCAGGCTTCTCCTGGCCTTCAGGGAGACCCATAGTGTCACCATGGCCTCTACCAATTTCTCGCTCTAGAGTTGCATCCTGAAAGATTACAACAGTGACTTTAAACTTCAACCTCATGAAAGTCTTAGCCAGCTATCTATCCTCAAATTCAGCATGACTCTTTATTATGTCATTTTCTAGGTTGCATGGCCACACTAAAATCGTACTTTACCAAGTTCAGTTAGGGAATTTATTATGTAGAAAAAAAAGTGTAGCAGGGAGTGACCAGTAAATGTTGTCATTCTACACTAACATGAAAGACGGGAAGGACATAAACTCAAACTGATACTGGTACCAAGAGCTCTGAAACTCTTTACTGTCTGCTTAAGATGAGGATGAAACGCTTATGGGAAATGTCCAGAGTGCTTTGATGTCAGTTTTTATCTCAATGCTTAATAACTATATTTAATAGGCAAAATGGCGAGCCATTCAACACAAGAAAACTAAATGTTAAACCACAGTGAAGTCCAATCAACATAAGAGCAGTATTACAATTTTTTAAAACAACATATTTGGCCATGAAAAAGCAGTTATGTTAGCCACAAAAAGAACACAATAGAACCAAGCAGTATAACCATCTGTCATTTCTTTGTTAATAGAGACCCTTTTGAAGGTTATTAGAATACTCAGCATACAGCAAGGTTATTACTATTTTGATGCAGCAAAATGGATGTTCTGTATCAAAACAGTGCCTGACAGACTGATTGTACACAATCACAGATTGACACATCTCTTTACACCACCATCAAACATATCCGTTGAGACTGTCATTGTTTCATTAACTACAGACTGAAAACTTCTACACAGGCAAATATCCATATTCTAGAAAGGCTCTCAATTATAGCAACAAACAAAAAATAGATTTCTTGTGTAGAGCTTGTTAGAACAACAGAGAACAAAGAGGCAGTGGAGAGGCAGATAAAGCATAAGGATAAAATAGAAGGAAAAAGAACTAGAAAGAAGATGGAGGATAGGCAGCAGCAGATAAGAAGAAGGAGGAGAGAATAAAAGTTTGTGTTTTTTTAAGCAAATTTTTTTTATTTGGTGTCTAGAAGGAATGAAAAAATACAGCACTGGAATAGGAGAAGTTACAGTTATAATTCAGACAGAACAGATTAATCTTCACAGTAAAACAGAACTGAGAGAGTAAGGAAATGTTTAACACATAAAGTGTCACGAATGAATGTTCAGCGAGTTCCCTGGTAGTGAAAGAGTTAATACTATTTATCAGATAGCCTAAACACACCACAGAAGTGAACTATGCAACAGGTGATCATTTAACATGACTAGCAAGCAAAGCGGTTAAAACATGAACACTAGAAGTTACCATATTTTTTTTAATTCTCTCTCCCCCCCCCCCCCCCCCCCCCCCCCCCCCCCCCCACCCCCCCCCACCCCCTCCCCTCCCCCCCCCCCCCCCCCCCTCCCCCCCCCCACCCCCCCCCCCCCCCACACACACACACACGCAAGCATAAAAACAAATTGAAGTAAAGTATGACAGTGGCTCATCTAACATATGATGCTAGAATCATATTTTCATAAATCGATCGGCATTCAACAGGATGCAGTCAATATCATGATGGTGCCTTCACTTCCCAGGATACTACCTGGTACCCATTTTAGACTGGCTGATCTGCAGGCCAAATGGCTTGACCACTTCACCAGAGGGAGAGGAGAAAAAAATCAATTCAAAGCAGATTTGAACCCAAGACCTTCCAGCCACCAGATAAGCACTTAGCCATTAGACAACCATGGTTACCGTGCTGGAATAACTGTGAACTGAGTCTAGTCAAATTAGATGTGGTAATGCAGTGACTACATGCTGGCCTGCCAGACCAAAGGTTCTGTGTTCAAGTCTGCAATTTCCCATCTGGGCTCCTGGGGCCCCTCTGAGATGGGGGAGAGGAAACAGACCTACTGCTCTCTCCCTAACAAGCATGTCAGGGGAGGCAACTAAATAGGGCTATTCATTCAAAGTCATGAGTGTATCTGTCTGATAATAATATGCTAAAAAAAAACAGATGTTCAAGCAAAACTGAGGGTCTGGAATAAAATCAAAGTCCACACAATTGGGTCAGCCCAGCTTAAAATGGGTACCAAGGTGAAGTAAACGTTTGGCATGATTATGGTCACATTATCCATCAAGCACTGAGTGGTCTATAAAAAAATATGAGTCTAGGATCATGTGTTCAACCTAGAAAGGGGGGATAAAAGGAAAGGAGGGAAAGGGGAGGGGAAGGGGAGGAGGGGTGCAGACATTTTCAAGGAAGTTTGAAGATGGAGTCAAGAAAACTGCTTTGAAAGTGAGTTCATAGCTAACTTTTTGTTAAAGACCAGAGGATCGACTTTTTTGCACCGGGTTCTTATCCCATATGGCTCGGTATCTCTCCGCAGCCTGATAATGATCCGTTTTTATGTACTTATTCCAGTGATAAAAAGCCCATTAAAGCAGGTCTTCTGGTGATTTTACTGTGTAATGTGCAAAAACTATCAAGTGTCACAAACTGAAAGTAACAGAAAATAACTGCACAAGGAAATAGCCTCCACCAATGTGCTAGTCCTGACATAATGTGGGTCGTCGGCAATGACAACAGCTCACAGAAACAGCTTCAGGCCTCAGAAATGAGGTATCTGAGAAAGATGGTCCAAGTGACAAGAAAAGACAAAGTTGGCGCCATCAGTCAATATGTCATGACCTTGAATTCAACCCAGGCCTTAAAAACTCAAGTGGATCAGTCACAGTTACGATGGTTTGGACAGGTATGCAGAATGGGAGAGAATTATCCACCACGGCAGGCATGGGAAGTCAAGAACAAGACCACCAGGGCAACCCAGGGTTCACTGGGAAAGGAAGACAACATCCGACAGTCCCTGACTGACAGAGGACTCGAATGGAACAAAGCCAAAAAGAAAACTGCTGATAGAGAAGTCTGGTGATCTCTCTGGAAAACCTCTACACCCCAAGGTAGAAGAGGAGCGACCAAGTAAAGTAAAAGAAATAACTATAACAACTGACTTTCTATACAATTATATAAATTTTAAAAAGCTGCCATTACAAATATTGTCTATAAATAAACTGTATATTTAACACAATTGTATGTATAAACTATTGTCTAAAAACATACTGTTGTCTATATAAATTATTATCTGCAAAGATGCTATTTTCTAAATAAAGCAATGTGTTTATAAATTATTATCTATTAAAAGGCTTTTATAGAAATAAACTTACTGTCAGAACATACTGCTGCCTGTATAAATTATCTATATTTTTTCTATATATTCATAAATATATTGTTAAATTTTTTTTTTTGTACACTCATTTATGAGACTGCAGCCAGTTTGTCAAAGAATGCTTTAATAAAAAAAAAAAAAGAACTGCTGAGGGACAAAGCACAATACTATACAACACAATTTACAAATATGAACACCTTGAACTACATTATTTACTAAGGTGCTATCACTAGCAGAAGTAATGAACCAATGCAACGAGCGCATGGCAACAGAAACCAGCTAAACAAAATGAAAGACCTAGAGAAATGCCAAGAAAGATTATTAATATGCCACTAGAACACTAACCCCTTTATAGTGGACCACTACTGTAGTGTAAAATACTAATAACTACAAGTCACTAAACTGTCAGATACCCACACTGTCAGATAACCACAGTGTCAGACACCCACACTGTCAGACACCCACACTGTCAGACACCCACCCTGTCAGACAGACAGACACCCACCCTGTCAGGCACCCACCCACCCCACAGTCAGGCACCCCACCCACACTGTCAGACACCCACACTGTCAGACACCCACCCTGTCAGACACCCACACTGTCAGACACCCACACTGTCAGACACCCACACTGTCAGATACCCACACTGTCAGACACCCACACTGTCAGACACCCACACTGTCAGGCACCCACACTGTCAGATACCTATACTCACATGTTCCTACATTGTCAGATACCACAAGAACAAACTATTCTGTATATTGGATCACACTTGTCAAGAAAGTACTAATGAAATTCAAGTTATACGTTGAAAATGTCCTGAGAGAAACAGAAAAAGTATAAACCTACACAATATGAAATATTCAACAAGAACACAGATCAATATACATCTGATCATTACTGTGAAGAAGGATAATAATAAATTCAGGTCACACAGTGAAAAGGTGAGAACACACTGCCAGATACAGCAAAAACATAAATGAAAACAGGGAAAAAGTATAATATCACAATTTCATATGCTAAATGTAGGGTGCACAATAGGAGGAACTCCACGCGGGAGCATGCATAGCAGGGGTCCACCGGTCGTCAGTAGAGATCCTTCATCAACAACTTTTCGGTTCCCTAAACAATCTCAGAAGGAGGGCCGACCTGGGTCATGATGTCAGGCCCAAATCTTCCCCTGCTGCACTTAATCAGACTCGATAGGGACAAGACGATATGGTGACTGAGCAGGTGCTGTGAGATTTGGTGTTAGATTGTCGCTGTGGTAGCAAATTAAATCAGTTGACTATCTTCATGACCAGAGTGACAAGCTTATGGTTGGTTCATCGGACAATTGTTAGACTTTGGCATTTGGAAGAGAGATACCTGCAGACATTTATCGGACACTTTGGCTTTTAAGAGATATGACGTTCTTTTGCACTAGGAACTCGGACAAGTCTAACAAGGCCCATCCCCCACGACGTTCCGCTGCGTCCAGCTTGAAGCTCTTTCAGCAGCTTTGCCCCGTTTTTTAGTGACCGTTTATGCTCATTTCCTCGCAAGCCCAGCTGCTTTAGAACATTGTACATGAAGTGGAGATAAGACCTCTGCTCTTGCGCCTACTTTGACGGTGAAGATTTTTACTGTGTACGTGTCGTCTCACCTCAGACCAGTCACGAGCTCACAGTAATTCTTGAGCTTCTAGATGTGATTTTCGGCCTTCGCGCTCATACGGCACGGATTAGCTCGCATTTTCCCGCAGAGTGCAGAACTATGTCAGGACTCTTTCCCGTCTTCCGTATTGGCTCTGTGTACCTTTCTAAACCAGTCAGGTCAATAACCAGTAACCAGTATTGATGGAACGCATGCGATCTTGTTGATTTTACCTTTGTAAATTCGCCCAGCTTTGAGGAAGCACATGGGAGTGACGATAGGATTGGCCCTCGCTTTGGCCCTCATTCTTGCTTGGTCACTTTATTGTGGCGCAAGTATTTCTTCCCTGGCCTAGGGCTTTTCTGATTAACAGGGTGGGTGGGAGAGGGGGAATAGGTGGGCGAGAAGACTGCGGTAAACAGAAAAAAGAAGAGCAACATAAGAATAATGAATTTATAAAAAATTAGAAATTATGTTCTAATTTTTTGCAATGGAAAATATTAGCATGAAAAATTCTTCTTCCATAATGTCCTCTACCACATGCTTATATTTGACCTTTTATATCCTCCACCATTTTGCCTTTCTTCACAATGTAGGTTACTAATAAATAAACTGATATGATGATGTTAGTTTATGGCATGTTAGTAATGTCTAGATTATACTTTTACAACACTGATTTTAATCAAACAGGATTTAAAAAATCACACTGACCCCTTGGCTTGGTAGCCTGTCCTTTCGGTCGGCAGTGTCTGAGTCATACGGCCGTCTCTGCAATGTATTCTCATCTCCAGCACCACGACCTTCCCCATCTCTGCCAGCCTGAGCTTTAGCTAAGAAAGAAATCAGGAAGGCTAGCTTTATATGTCAAACCAGCACTGGTAAGTTGGGCTTTTTTCCTGACGGTATAGGGTAACGGCACCTTTTTAAAGCATCAGGTTTTTTTTTCAGCGCTACTGTAACAGATGTCAGCAGAAAGATATCAAGCAAACAAAAAAACATCCGTTTTTTTTTGGCGCTATTGTAACAGATGTCAGCAGAAAGATATCAAGCAAACAAAAAATCACCAGGTTTTTTTCCGGCGCTACTGTAACAGATGTCAGCAGAAAGATATCAAGCAAACAAAAAATCACCAGGTTTTTTCCGGCGCTACTGTAACAGATGTCAGTAGAAAGATATCAAGCAAACAAAAAATCACCAGTTTTTTTTTCGGCGCTACTGTAACAGATGTCAGCAGAAAGAAATCAAGCAAACAAAAAATCACCAGGTTTTTTTTTTGGCGCTTCTGTAACAGATGTCAGCAGAAAGATATCAAGCAAACAAAAAATCACCAGGGTTTTTTTTTGGCGCTACTGTAACAAATGTCAGCAGAAAGATATCAAGCAAACAAAAAGAAGAACCAGTCAGCTTCACATTATTACAAAAAAACTTTGTGTTAAGTAAAGACCTTTATTTCCAGAAGAGAACAGCCTTGGTTGTATGAAGGAGAAACATGGAAAGCAAATTCCAAGGGGACTGAAAATCAAGTTTGTGGCAATAAAAATGTGTTCTTCTTCTTCTTAAAGTCTGTGCCATGTGGTGTTTTCTGAGATGTCTATTGACAACCTTCTTTCTCGTGTACTTTCAATCAACCCTGACACAGATTATTCTAAATACCATGATGTCAAATTATCCAGCTTTTTTATCTCTGCCCCTCTTCCCTTACAATTTTTCCAATTGTCACAATGTACTCTAGTTTTCTCATCCTCGGGACATGACCAAAAAATGTAAACTATCTCTCCAAAAATTGTAAACTATCTCTTCTGACCTGGGTAATCAGTTCTCTTCATAAGTCACTTTCACGACATCTCAAGTGACTATTACTCTTTTTCCTTGTCCAGGGTATTTTTATCATTCGTCTACACAACCACATCCACTGCTTCCAAACAATTTTTCTCTGATCAACCTTATAATAAAAGTGTGTGTCTAACCGGAGACTATTATTACTACTACTTCCCTGCTGGGACCAAAATTTTTTCTTGTTTACCCAAGTGTTCTTCTTAAAGTTCATTGTTCATTTTAAAAATGATCATCAAAGCACATGACCACAAGTGCTCCGATCTACTCCTGAGTATGTCACCAAGTGTTTTAGGCTAATAACTCCCATCCTGTTCTGGTTGATGTAACGACGAGTGGCTCGGGCATAGGTTTCCTGTCTCATTGCTCTAGTTGGTACACCTACGGTATGCAGTCTTCTTAAGTTAGTGTTAACAAGCTTTACAGCACAAACACTGGAACCAAACTGCAATGTCACTTCTATAAACAAGGGGGAGATATACTGTGGGGAGCAACATTTTTTGCTTCTGGGGGGAAAAAAACCTGATTGTATGGATGACAAACAAGGAGAGAGCTAAATCAATTACTTATAAACTACAGTAAAAACCTTGCTAATATGAATTCCAAGGCTCTCAGAAATCAAGTTTGTGTTGACAATATTTGTGGTAACTAGAGATTATGTTGGGACCAAAATATTTATTCACAGTAACTGAGTATTCTTCTTGAGTGAGTTTGTGCTAACAAATTTCTTACTGTACAAAAACTGGAACCGAACAGCAATGTCACTTCTATGAACACCCAACAGCCCATAGTTATCACCAGAAATCACTGAAGAATAATCACCCTCTTGCCCTGAATGCACACAACCCAGCACTTCCGGCTTGCGCTGAGGCCCCACAAATGTCCCTTACCCATTTTGCTATAGAGACTTGTTTACGAGGAACCCTGCTAACAGCAATTCCCAAAATACGGGCTTTTTGGCGTTGCTGTTTTTTTGTGTGTACAGGTCACCAGGGAGAAAGAGTTAAGGTTTTCCGATAAAAAGAAATATATAAAACCTTGCATAACCAACATAAAAATGTACCTGTAGGAACACCCTTAACATCCTTTTTGTCCTTTCCATCTCCATATTTCCCGGGGTACTCTTTACTCGCTCTGTCTGGATCATACATTCCATCTTCATATGAGCCTCTTTTCTTGGGACGACCCACTGTCAACAATGGAAACATTAGATCCATTAACAAAATTTGAATATGGCTGGCTCGTTTTGAATTCTAAATACATTCCCTCTCTTCTTGGCATTCACCGGCTGTAAACTAGCGAAAAGTTCTGGTTTTTGTGTGTGTGTCTGTCTACATGCAGACTTCTGTTTCCTTACCTCTCAGGCAAATGCATTCCAACCCTAAAGGAAACCTTTAATTAGTCGACTATTATGACACGCTCGTTAGAGGGGCAATGGGTCTATCACCCCTCCCACAATAGAGACCGCCGAACCCACACAGGGCCTGACATAATAATGCTGATGTTATGGTGCTAAGTTTTTTTTCCAGTCCTGATGAAAGCTTGCAGTCTTGAAGAAAGGCTGGCCTAGATACATCTGACCTAATCTGGCACTAAGGTCACATTTTTTGCTGGAACAGTTGCAACAACAGCAACAAAAGAAGAAGAAGAAAAAACTGGGTCTGTGCAAGACTTGAAGTGCAGCTTTATATTTGCCATGCATGCTAATAAGATGTCACCAAGTCAGGACTCAGCATGGCACACACATATGGCCTGAATAGGTTTCATGCTGGTAGTATTCACGGTGGAGAAATATAATAAATATAATTAACACATAGAAAGGCTGCATAACCTTGACCTTTACTTGTTTGGGGCTTGTGGATTCAATTATAATTCTGTATCTAGATCTTCCCTGGTCTGCATTGTTCTCCTCTTTCCTCCACCCAGCTTTGCATTACCATTTTAATATGATAGATACCCACCCTCTACAAAGCCTTGAAGTATAACTGTTATATGATACCCAGCCTCTAACAAGCCTTGAAGTATAACTGTTATATGATACCCAGCCTCGAAGTATAACTGTTATATGATACCCACCCTCTAACAAGCCTTGAAGTAAAACTGTTATATGTTACCACCCTCTAACAAGCCTTGAAGTAAAACTGTTATATGATACCCAGCCTCTAACAAGCCTTGAAGTATAACTGTTATATGTTACCACCCTCTAACAAGCCTTGAAGTATAACTGTTATTTGATCAATCCATCAATCAGCATGTCCTTTACAGAACACTGCTCTCTTCATGGCACGCCTGAAAGTCTCTTTCTCTAGCCATTTCTCCAGTGCTTTTCTGGCTAATTCATCTTCAATGTCCTGTGTCCACCTTTGTGAAAGTCTGCCTCTACCTCGCTTTCCAGCAACTGCACAATCCATCACTGTTCTTTCTATGAAACTCAAATGATAATCCCTGTATCTGATTTAAAGTACCCTCAAAGCAAATTACATTTCAGCAAATAGTGCAGCTTCACAAGGGAATGCCCAATGTGCAGTGATGTTGAATATTATAAAAGCATAGCCTTTTCCTTCTTGCTGTGTGTGTATATCTCCCAAAGCCAAAAACTTACTGTCATCCATGCTGCGTGAACGAGTCCCTGTGTCAGGCATGGTATTTCTGGCTGGCTGTGACCTTTCAAAGAAAGGAGGTGGCCTGTCCAAAAGTGCTGCTGTTTGTCTAGTTTGGTACAGTGTGCGACCAGAGTAGCGAAACTTGGATCCGAAACGTGGGAAGGTCACATTGTTGCTAGGCTTCTCGGCTTCTCTCAAACTGAAAATACCATAAAAATGAATTAGGGAGAATTAAATTAACCATTTTACCTTTGTAACATTGTTTTTTTTTATGAGTAAAGATCCCATAGGAATTCTCAAAAAGGAATCTTTAACAAATATTTGCATACAGGTCATAATGCATTTTTTAAATGTTTTTATTAACACACACTTTTTGAAATTCTTTTCCAGGACAATCTGACGTCAACTTGGCTTTAAAAATATCCTTGAGTTTTAAGGACCCCCCCCCCCCCCCCCCCCCCACCCCCCCCCCTGCTATCTGTAGTTAACATGTTCAAATCCTGACCCCATAAACATCTGCTCAAGCATGAACAAAGAAGTCTCATAAACAGGTCACCGTAGACAAGTCGGAAAAGTTATATTTACAGGGTACTGGCCCTGCCCCCAACGGTAATTGCTGAAAGAGCTCTTTAAGTATCAGTGTCAGGGGATTTGTGCTAAAATACATCATCATTCGCCATGCTTACAAGCACAGTTGGTCAAGAATATTCTCCCTTGTTTACTAAGTATCTGGGATTCATAGCCAATGACATAGGTTTACAGGAATAACCATATTCAAACGAGGTCATGCTCACAAACATGAGTCACATAAAGTGATAACCCAACATACCGGAAAAATGCATGGTGCTCTACACAGGTCTTCCACAAGCGTTTGGCCAATCTGTGGTTATCTAGCTTGAACATGATAGTTGTGTCATTCCTTTCCATCTGAGAACAGAATTAAAATGAGTGGTATGGTTATCATCATTGTGACTACAGTACAGGCTTAGCTAGAACTCTGTGTGTTATATATATGCATGCAATGTTCAACAGGATCCCTTTTCTTTTCTAAATATACACCGAGCTGCATGCTGGAAAAAACATAACTTGTTCTTCATGCTCACCAGCTGTAAGCTCTGATGGAAAGTTCTGGTTGTTCATCCACTTCTGGGCTTCAGTTTTGTTCCAGAACTAGTGCACGTCCATTTTACAGATTTGGTTTACTTATATGCAGACACTTGGTTTTTAATCTCAGGCAGACACATTCCAACTTTGAAGGAAACACCCCTTTTACAACATGCAAAGATCTGTTATCTTTTAGATCCATTAATCAAAGGAAAATGTTTAAAATACTTGGCTAATAACATTTCTCCAGATGTTTAAAAGTCAAATATGAATTAATTTCTTTCTCAGGTTACAGTAGCTCATCTTTGAATCTCTGCTTAGTACAGAGGTTACTTCTAAATGCTTGATAACGCTTGCTGAAAGTGTTTTAAGTATTCATTTCTAACAGCTATGTTGTATTTAAATATTTGTAAAGCTTTGCTATGCATCTTTGCTTTCAAAATCTATTTCTTTATTACTATCATTTATAAACAACATAGTGAGTAACCACCTACCTCTCCAGGTCGAATCTTGATGTAGAAATGGTTGCGCTTGTAAGACAACTTAAGAATCTTAGGCCAAACAAAGCGGTTTAAGCGAAGCTTGTCTCGAAAAATAAGCAAGCCACTGCAGCAGACTCCAACCATGACAGCATTGTTTTCAGAATCCTTGGCTTTGTGAAGGTCAACACCATACATGGCCAGTTTTTTGGCATTGTCCAGGAAGCCTTTTTCAGCCTCATCTGGTGTTTGGCCTCTGAAAAGGAAGTGTTTTTTTTTTTTTATTATGCAATAGAAACTGAAAAAATGCACAAGGATAATGAATAGCTAAAGTTGTCTACCCATTAATGAAGGGTGTTCCCATATTTTTTTTAAACTGTTTTCATGGGTCTCTAAAAGAAGTACAAGAGTTGCACCAAAAAAGAGATCAGGGGACTCACCACGAATACTGCCAACAGCAGTAGTTATGCGCTATAGCCAACCTTCATTGTACAGAATGATACGTTACTAGATTTAATACCTAGCTTCATTCTGTACAGATCCAAACTCCATCTTTATTCATTACAATTAACTATTTACTCTGCTATTACAGATTTATTTCAAAACTTGGCTACATTCAATATTTTTTTCTTTTGTTGATCATCAATATTGGTCAGTTTTGAGGGATCCATCGCCATTTAGATTCCTACATACAGCTGTCCACTGAAAAGCACACATCAATTAAACCCAAGCCTGTGACTGTCCCTGCAACTTACTGATTTTGCCTGCAAATGCAAGCTAAACAGGAAACTGCAATAATAATGTCAACAGGTGAAAACAGCAGCTGACCTAGAAATGGAGGCCAGAATGACATGTGCAAATATCATGTCACTAGTGTTCACTGTTTGGGAGGTCTTGTGACAAAAAACATCTATTATATACAGAATAGATTTTTTTTTAAATCTGCTCAACCTCGTATCACCAATCAAGTGTTATCCATTAGGTTATGGGTCTCACACTATATGCCTGATGTGTTAATAGCATAAAAGGTGAGAGTGTGTAAACAGGACAAAGTCAAAGACTCCTAAGACTGAGCAAAGTATAGTTTGGCCACCTACCACATGACCACTAGACTAGCCATGAAGACCATCTTGTACTGCACAGAAATGTCCTGCTTACGGGCACCTGTGATGTTGCAACAGACCATAAACAAGAGGTATTGCTACAAAGAATACACTGAGAGACAACAGAACTGACAAACTCTACAAAAGCATCATGTAACTATGCTCTAGGAAACCAGAAGGGTCAGAACCAAAACCTTGTACTCTTTTGACATCCAAAATAAAAGAAGTGAAGAAGATTTACTGCAAAATATTTAAGGACTCCAACTATAATTCCTATTATTCTCAGTACTGAATAAGTACTCCAACTACAATTCCTATTATTCTTAGTACTGAATAAGTACTCCAACTACAATTCCTATTATTCTCAGTACTGAATAAGTACTCCAGCTATAATTACTATCTATCTCAGTATTAAAAATGTGTGCCATCACTCCTCGCAAAAAATCCTGTTGAAGTTAACTGAATGGAAACAAATTCAAAGCCTACCAGCAATAGTAAAGTGAAGACCCTTTTCTTGCCTTTAGCACATCGGGCATGCGTGTTAGACCTATATTTTTAAAGACCGACCAGCACTCCAATGTAATCAACATCATGCTAGTTGCCTTTACTTCCAAGACAATGTCTGGCAACTATTTTAGGCTGAATCAACCTGGGAGCAAAGAAAGGCCAATTTAATAAAAATATCTGCCTTGATGCAAATTTAAATCCTAGACCTCTGGGCCAGCTGCATAGCATCTGGCCACCCTGCTGCCAATGTTCCCTGCCTGTCAACCAGGAATATACATTCTTTTCTGAATGAATAATTTCACTGTGTGGGTTCCGGAGTCCCATTTTGGTGGGGTCGCCACCCTCTAACCTGCACGTTGTGAAAATCGATCTGTAAAACAGATGTACAGGGTAAAGGTTCTGGAACAAGCGGACAAATAACCAGACCTTTCTGAAAGAGTGTGCAGCCGTGATCACCAAAAAGAAGTAGAACAAAAAAGAGACTTTAGTTTCCAGATACAATATGAAAGACAAGCTTACTTGTGTAGTTTGTGAAGCTCTGCAATTTTCTCCAGCAGCTCTGGTGTTTGATTTGGAGCGAAGGCCATGTCTTTGATGTAGTCGTATGCATTTCCATGAACAGCGGGGTCATATTCTCCAATATCCGCCTGCACATTGTAAGATCCTAGTATAGCATATGTAGTGAAAGTGCATGGGATCCTGAAATATAATCAAACAGATATGTTGGTGACTTCCCTCTAAAGCTGACAGATATGCCTGATATTTTACTCAACTAAACAAGAGAGAAATAGTTAATGTAGCTGTAAACATTTCAGAATCTTGTAAGAGCATGTTCATTTAATAATAATATGTACTTCAAAGTGTTATCTGTATGCAGAATAAATTGATCCATTAGATACGTCCTTCAAACACTACAGCAAAAAGAGAATTTAGCAGAATTCTGTGCATTTATATTAATATGGCTTTAAACTTACAATCCTGTGAGTTTATGATAGTTATTTTTGGTTTATTTGCATTTTAAGGGTTTTTTTTTTTTTTTAGATATTTTCTGTCATGTTTATTTTCATTTTAAACATTAAGTACCATAAGAAGTCAGGATTTGTTTATATTTAAAATGTATGTGAACTCGGGCTAAGTTTGTCCATCTGATATTCTTCAAAAGCCTAATAAGGGTCACTAAGAATGATTTTCAATTGTTATTATAAAAGAAGTATATAATGGATTCACACCTGCAGTGTCTCAAAGTGTTCAACATAGTGCAAAGTTTTAGACTTATACATTCAATACAGATGCTATTTGTAGCTCTGGTGACTTCTAGACAGTATAAGAGCTCCTGTCACGTCTTCTGAATTGTGTCCATAATTCCAGTTACAATTCCTGCAGCAACCCTCTCTTTGAGGTGCTTAATGTTCCTTATCTTCTCAGTGGAGTTTGAAGATCACACAAAACTTCAAACTTTCCTGAATAATATAAGAGTATATATCCATTAAACACTTCTGTTATAACAACAGAATCAAATCCAGGCAATCATTCTCAATGATCCTGTGTTAAGTGTTTAATGTGGTTACTTCACTCTATCACTGCTTCGTGTCTTTATGGTATTAAGGGATAAGGATCAGGATCTTCACATTGGGTTGCATTAATGGCAACTATCTGCAAAGGATCTTATGATGAAGAATAGCAGGACATTTAGAGTGTAAGATATGTTCTCATCTTCTGAATGATACATATCTACAAGAAAGGGTGTTATTTGGTAATGTGATAGAAAGAGGGCATTGCAGAACATCACAATGACTGGAAAGACAAGCAGCAAAAGAGATAGAAGGAGAACGAGAAAAAGAATGATGGACAGTCTACAATGGTGGCACTAAGGAATGCCATGGACACAACTGATCCAGACCATAAAGGACTGAGATCTGTGAAGAGACACAGGCTACATCTGTCAGGACACATGAAGATCTCACCTTCCACTCAGTAAGTCTCTCCTGACTTGCAGCACCACTAGCCATCTGTAGACAGCAGACAATGTATGGTAAGTAACTAACTATACATGTTAATTAATCACTGTAATGATAGGGCAGACAATATATATAAAGTAACTGAACATGAATTAATCACTGCAATGACACAGCAGACAATGTATGTTAAGTAATTGTACATGTTAATTAATCACTGCAATGACACAGCAGACTATATATATATATATATATATATATATAAAACAAATATGTTAATTAATCACTGTAATGACACAGCAGACAATGCATGCAGAGTAACTATACCACACATGAATTACCTATTGTAATCTTCTTCTTCTTAGCATTTTCCAGCTGTACTCTCCACCGGAAAGTTCTAGTTAGTCATCCACTTCTGGATTCTGGTCTTATTCCAGAACATGACTTTTGCATGCACATCCATTTTATAAAGCTGGCTTATCTGTATGCAGACTGTTGGTTCCTTGCATCTCAGGCAGATGTGCATCGACTTTGAAGGAAATACCCCTAATTAGTGGCCTTGAATGACATGTCTGTTAGGGGGGAGTGTGTCTATTCTTGTCCCTCCAGTATGAGGCCACAGAACACACACAGGAAGAATAATTGACATGAAACAGTAAACAAAATAAACGACCCCTGCCCATGGCGCTACAGCAATAGTTTTATAAGCTAGAAGGCACTCGATGGGTGGTGTGGTCTACATAGGTAGGGATGGCCACCTTTACTTCCGAGAACAATACCTTTTACTTCTATTAGGCCAATCTAAATGTAATTTAATTATACTTTATCTTTAGTATTCTAACACTGACAGCAAATATGTAACCCTTCTTTTTCTGCACTCGCCTTTAAAATGGCAACTGGCATGTTATGTTGTGGTTGAAAGATAGTCTATAATATCTGCACCTTCCAGTCCAACACATAAGATTCAGGAAAGCCTCAATTAGTTGCCTTATACCACCTGGTCTCTAGAATACTCCTCATATTTAGTGCTATGGGATGTGAATCCCATGCTTCCTTATAGCCCAATATAACACTATCATCAAGAAAGACAAAGGGGTGTCAACAATTTGTCAACTGCAATCTGTGAAATTTATACATGTGACAAAATAAGCCATACTCCACAATCCAGAATTCTATTCATAACCTAATGAATCAAGACAATCGGGGGAGAGGGGGGAGACAAAAGAAAAAAAGAAGCATGAAAGGAAGAAAATGCTTAAAATCACAGTGTAATATTAACGAAGACACTCTACCTTGTAAGGCTTTCTCTTAGCTGTGAAGGATCAGGTGGGTAGAACTTCAGGGCAAATTCAAAAACCCAAGGACCACCTGAAAGAGAATGACCACCAAAAACTGAAAAACAAAGCACAACCTGTGTATGCTATCACAATGTATTTATGTGTTATGAATATGAGTTCACTAAGTGAACACTGTCAGCATCTGTAGATTAAGAGTCATCAATGCAAGTTCATAGTCTCGACATACCACGGTGTAAAGTTGGCTGAAGGTGACTTAGAAGCAGCATTCAGCATTCCCAACAATCAGAAAGCAATCTTAAAGTGCTAAATATAAAACTACCTAAAAAACTACAATCAGCTAATCTACCTCTTCTTCACATTCCCCTGCTGTAAACTCCAGCTGCAATTTCTGGTTGCTTGTCCACTTCTGAGCTTCAGTCTTTTTCCAAAATTTAGGGTTTTGTGTGCACATTCATTTTACAAATCAAACTCATTTTTATGCAGACTGCTTGTTTCTCCCCTCTTAGGAAGGTGCACTACAACTTGGAAGAAAAAATATCTAATAAGTCACCTTGTGGGGAAAGGGCTATGTTTTTTTAATCCCAAAATGATGGATTTCGTGGGGCCCACACATAGAAAACAGCCAATAACTAATAAATCCTAGGGCTGGTTTGTGATGCCCCAAACAGGACATGTTACTAGACTTCTTGCTCTTCTGGTCGTTTGAATTACAGACACACCATACTGTAGTAGAGTATCTGTGATGTTCTGTTTACATCTTGTTTTTGATCTATCTTATGCTCTATGTTTCTCTCCTCTTTTGGTATAAGCCATGTATAGCATGACATCACACTCTCTCTCGAACTTCCGGTCAAAATGAACGCTAGGCAGGCCACTGTTTGGAGCTGAGGCAAATTTTTTGTTTTTGCCAGACGGTGGCCGATGCATTTTTGTTCCATTTGTAGACTGGATATAGTTTCATCGCCCAGCTTCAGAGTTGAATGCATGGCATGATACTGTGAGCTGCGGATTTCATTTGGGATGTTTTTTCGACTGTGACCAACGTGGTGGTGTGATTTGTAGATTCAGAAAATGGCGCAATGCCTGTCGTCGCAATTTTGGTGGTGCCCGTATGTGATTAAAATTGATTGCGTGGGCAACTGCAGATCTGTTGGTGACTTATGCTACCATCAATGATGAACTGCATTTCTAATGTCGGACTGTTTGTGTAAGCACTTTGGATGACTACCGTATGCTTTAATGCTAGTGTATGCTAGATATGCTGAGACAGCAGTCTGTCAATCTTTCCACAAGGGACCGTGATAAACATTCTTCGTGTTTTTCGTTGGCACAAGAGAGGAGCAAAGATGGGGTGACCCGTTTGCTATGAAGCTGAAACTAAGACTACCAGACCAGACCAGACACTTTCTCTAAACGGGCAAACCATTTTAGTTGCTGCCTTTGCATCCGGCTTAACACTGGTTCTAGTTCTATATCAACTGCTTCTCTTAAGACTTTATTCCTGGTTGCATCATTTCTTGTCACACCTGCAGCCTTTCCCATGCATCTCATTTCCATGGGTATTAATTATCTTTTCTGTTTGTTGTGAGTGGCCATGTCTGACACACTAAATAGTTTTATGTATGTACTGATTTTGATTGACTTATGTTGTAAGAGAGGGACTAGCTGTCCTTAAACTCGGTCAACATTACTGCAATGAGTGTTAATTTCTTCATCCAATATATCATCTTTTGAACAAAGAAGACACAACAATAGAATGCACAATTTATTGCCTACCATATTTAACTGTATCTCATAAGGTGCATACTATAGTAACAATTACATAAATGAAACAAATAAGTGAATCCTTTATAAATGAAGTACAAATTCAACAACAATCAAACGCAACTGCCTCTTTTACCAGGACAGCCAGTTTCAGAATCTTTGTGTTTACAATTACTATTGTTTTTGTCTTCTTTGTTTAAATTTACAACGGAAAAGCCCTGCTTTGACATCAACTTTTGTAAATACTATTTTCACACTCAATGACATGAGATTATTTAAAAACAAACATGTAGAAGATTACCAACTCATGTTTCTAAAGCAACATCTCTGTACTTTGTCTTGTGCTATACTGGGTGGTCCAGGTTTGAATTCTCACACAAACACCACTCTCAAATCAGACAAAGGTTTGTGGTCAAGTTATCACAGTATTTATCTCTTTTGTTTTCCCATTCCTCTTCACCTATCAAGTTTTTCAGTTGTCACAAAGTTTTCAAGTGCATTCTCTTCTTCTTCATTCCGAGCCTTCTTAATTGACTCATCATCATGTGACGTGCCAACTGACGTAGGTGTTCATGCGTCTCCACAGATCATGATCCCTGGTTACCTGGAACAGCTCTCTTGATGATATTCCTCCATGCCATTGTTTTAGCCTATCCAACATCATCTCTCTTGGTCTGCTTCTACTCCCTTTTCCGCTGATCTTCGATGTTCTTCAATGTCTTTCTCATTATGTGGCCAAAGAACAGTGTTTGTCTCTATTTTTGTATACAGAGATCTACTTTAATCAGTTTCTTTCAAGCAATCATTGTTAGTTACTCTGGTCGTCCAAGGTATTCATAACATTCGTCTCAGAAACGAATCGACTGCCTCATTTTATTTCCTGTCTGTTCCTAGTACCATTGAACTGCCCTCCAGAAACAAATATCCATGCCCATTAAGTGTTTCTCAGCTTGTCCGCTTATTATCCATGTTTCAGAAGCATGCCACCAATACTTCACTCACACATGCATGCCACCAATACATCACTCACACATGCATGCCACCAATACATCACTCACACATGCATGCCACCAATACATCACTCACACATGCATGCCACCAATACATCACTCACACATGCATGCCACCAATACATCACTCACACATGCATGCCACCAATACATCACTCACACTTGCATGCCACCAATACATCACTCACACATGCATGCCACCAATACATCACTCACACATGCATGCCACCAATACATCACTCACACATGCATGCCACCAATACATCACTCACACATGCGTGCCACCAATACAGCACTCACACATGCATGCCACCAATACATCACTCACACATGCGTGCCACCAATACAGCACTCACACATGCGTGCCACCAATACATCACTCATACATGCATGCCACCAATACATCACTCACACATGCATGCCACCAATACATCACTCACACATGCGTGCCACCAATACAGCACTCACACATGCGTGCCACCAATACATCACTCATACATGCATGCCACCAATACATCACTCACACATGCATGCCACCAATACAGCACTCACACATGCATGCCACCAATACAGCACTCACACATGCGGAACAGACATTTGTGATCACAACCCTCCAGTGTGTTGTCCTGCTGTTACTTATATATGCATTTCTCTGTCTTTCTTGGCCCGCATCAGCTCATAAAATACTAAGACAAGTGAAACTATGATACTCAATTACTCATAAGAAGGTTCATCCCAACAATAAACATTGGCTGCAATAAATCTCTAACATACCTCTAAAAAAAAACTGTTTATCTATCTCTTGATTTCATCCTCCCACTTGTACTGCCCTTTAACTCTTACTCACTCATCTTCAACCACCCCCTCCCCCCCCCCCATAGTTTTTATAAGAGTCTTATGCCTTTTAATGTAACCAAAATATTACACTTCTATTTTTCATTCCTTCTCCTCAGAACCTGATTTTGTTTCCATTAAATATAATCTATTCTTTCGTATAACCTCAATTCTAGGGACCCACACAACTTTTTAATTGGTTGTTCATTGTCTTGACTTCTTTCTGTGCCATTTAGCATTTGATTTATCTTAACTCATCTTAATCCTCTGGTATCTTGGTGTGTCGAAGTGAAGTATAATTTAAGGGAAAGTGCGTGTTTGTGCGCTTCGTAAATGGGGATTCCCAGGGATTTTTTCCTCTGTCCATATTTTGCATGATTGGCATCTACTTCTCTTCTTGCCTGATCTGTACATCACTGTTTGCTGACATCCACATTATATAGCCAGTTTCATCTGTTTTCTTCTAATGAAATCCAGAGCTGCCACTACGCATACTTCTTTGGATTTCAACATTCATTATCTTGTCTCTTGTGGTTATATTCAAAGGAATCTCATTTTAGTTGTTGCAACTTTTTTTGGCATTGGTAGCATAGGGATGGCAAGATGATTGAGTTATAGACTGCTCTTTTGGTTTCTACTGACACATAGTTGTTTCTTAGTATTGGTGTCATTTGCCAAATGAGTTGGTCTATCTGTTTTGTCAGGATACATTTTCATGTCATGCTCTTTACAAATTTGGTTTTAACCATTCATATGGTCTTGGAGTTGTTTCCAAAGTAGCAATTAGTACTTGCTCATTTATTAAAGGACTGAAAAACTAGGGGGGGGGAATGGAGGAAAAAATTATGCACTTGTGCCCAACCCTGTAGCTGACTTCAACTCAATCAATCAGGTGCCATCTCTACACTGAAGGTTGTTTGCACTAGATCTCCAGCATGCTCTATCTCTTGTCTTGGTAGTATACTTTCTCAGACTGCTGTTCGTGTAACTCTTGATGTTGTCTTTCCACTTGCATCGCTGTCTACCTCATTCTTTTTGCCTTCAACTTTTTCCTCCAAGCCTTTTAAATGTGTCTTTTCATGTGGCAGAAACATCTTTCAGCAACTCTTCGTTTTTGCATCCAGCTCTTCATTACCTCTGTATTTAATTTGTTTCTTTAAAGTGTGACCTATTCTTCCTCTTTAACTAAAAGAACACACACACAAATCATGATACCTGTCTTAGAATTCATCTGTTAAAGAACATTCTTGCACACTGTCAACAACAATCCCTCCCCTGCAAAAGTCATGTTAGATCAGAGTCGAAACAGATCAAGCAAAGTACATAAACAGCAGTCTCACTGACTGCTCAAAATATGCCCCTTCCCCTTCAGGTGATCACTGTAGTACCTGTGACTGCGACAACATTTAATTCACACATGGCAAAATTACTCACGTTTCTTCTGTTTTGCTATCTTCTTGTCTAAATGTAACCAGTACTGAAAATACAAAGAAAAGAAAATAACAAATCATACACTGCCATCGTCACTCTACACATGTAACTGAAAGTCATAAAGAACATTAATATTTGTGTTTCACTGAAACAAGCTATCCCTTCGAAAAATGACCTGAGAAGTGAACCTGGCTAGCTTTGCTGAAAGCTGCCAATTCGATTTGTAGAAAACAAACACTTCAGACTTGCTCCTCATTCAACTGGCTAGACGTCATGTTATAGTGAGGAGGGGTTTCTTTGCTGACTTTTGTGTGTTTCAATTCTTTGTGGTGTGCAGCTACACCTAATTTCCTGTTTTTTTTGGTCTTCCATGTCTGGTGGTCTTGTGGGTCCTGGTAAGGTCTGGTCTTCTTTTCTTGTTCCTGTGGGTATTTACTGTTTGATGTTGGTCTGAAAGCTGCTGCTTGCAGCGCAACCTTTATACTCTACATTGCAGCATAAATATCCCCCAGAGCCCTACTGGAACAAACATACGCTATGCTGTCTTTAATGGTCAAGTCATTGCACCTTGGGTAGTTCCCCTGAGGTGCCTCTACTGACTGTTCCCATAAGAGACTGGTTATAATATTGTCTATCCTGAATTTGATGATTGTGCAGATGTGCTTCACCAGGTTTTACTGCATGCTGGTTTGAAAAAAAAAAACAGTCTATCAAATTCACTGCACCAGGTTTATCCCATGTCTCTAAGGGTTGGTCCTTTCCTAGTCATCTGCCAAGAGTCTCAAACAAAGTACAAACTTTGCATCTCTAGTGATATTCCAAAGGATCATAAAAACTACATACATGAACTGAATAGTACAGTCTGTGAAACTAACCCACAGCCATCAGAGCACAATGCAGATGGTTTGACCACTTCACCAGGGAGATACAATTCTGTACACCAACATATAGTTTTGGGGAGACTGGCTGCTTCTTGATATGCCAGAAGTGCATTTCAATTTTTTTTAGTGACAGAAACAGAAAAGGATCCAGGCTTCTTTGCATTTACAGAATGTAAACTCCTGCAGAAAGTTCTGCTTGTTTGTATGTGTATAAAGACCGTTGGTTCCTTGCCTCTCAGGCAGATGCACACCGACTTCGAAGGAAGCCTCCAATTAGGTGACTCTTATGACATGCTTTTTTGAGGAGACAGTGGGCCTATTCTGGTTTTAACCCACAACAGAGCCCCAGAGCCCACAAGGGGAAATTATACTTAAAAAGCAATGTACACAGGGGGGACAACTCCATTACAGGATATCCATCCCTTGCCCCTAAATGACCCAATTAGGTATATTTCAAAAAATAAGTGGCCAATTTGTCTACAGGATGTCACCTGACATTCAGTGCTGGGTTGACAGGAGCTAGGCTAGCCCTCTGCATTTTCCCGGTGACTGACATGTATGGAGAACATGCTCCAGTTCTGGTGTGTAATTGTGAAGACCCGGTCAAGACAACACACTATGCTTTTATTGAAGCATGTTCTGTGCCTGAAAATCACTTCTCGGATCTCTTCTCCTTAACAAGGCATGTCTACCAGGCTAGACCCAAAAAAGCTACCCATGTGGGTTCCAGAAGCAAAAATAACAGACAAACAGCAAGCAAGCATGTAATGTAATAAGTAACTAATCAAAGATTTAATTAAATCAGATATGTTGAGCCATAAGTTGACAAATATCACAGACTAGCTATAAACTACAAAACTATCTCCAAAGGTGAAATGAAATGCAAAAAAAAAAATAAAACACCAAGGCAAAGGTTCTGCAGTACATGAATGTCCAAGAACAATAACAACTTTTCTTCTTCACACATTCTTACAAGGGTGGTTTTCACACTGTTTTGGTTTCTAACAAGGGTGTGATATGTGCATCTTTTGCTCCAACACTTCCAACGTCAACCTTTTGCTCCAACACTTCCAACGTCAGCAGTACATTTTTACTCCAACACTTCCAACGTCAGCAGTACATTTTGCTCCAACACTTCCAACGTCAGCAGTACATTTTGCTCCAACACTTCCAACGTCAGCAGTACATTTTGCTCCAACACTTCCAAAGTCAGCAGTACATTTTGCTTAACACTTCCAACGTCAACCTTTTGCTCCAACACTTCCAACGTCAGCAGTACATTTTGCTCCAACACTTCCAACGTCAGCAGTACATTTTGCTCCAACACTTCCAACGTCAGCAGTACATTTTGCTCCAACACTTCCAACGTCAGCAGTACATTTTGCTCCAACACTTCCAACGTCAACCTTTTGCTCCAACACTTCCAACGTCAACCTTTTGCTCCAACACTTCCAACGTCAACCTTTTGCTCCAACACTTCCAACGTCAGCAGTACATTTTGCTCCAACGTCAACCTTTTGCTCCAACACTTCCAACGTCAACCTTTTGCTCCAACACTTCCAATGTCAGCAGTACATTTTTACTCCAACACTTCCAACGTCAGCAGTACATTTTGCTCCAACACTTCCAACGTCAGCAGTACATTTTGCTCCAACACTTCCAACGTCAGCAGTACATTTTGCTCCAACACTTCCAAAGTCAGCAGTACATTTTGCTTAACACTTCCAACGTCAACCTTTTGCTCCAACACTTCCAACGTCAGCAGTACATTTTGCTCCAACACTTCCAACGTCAGCAGTACATTTTGCTCCAACACTTCCAACGTCAGCAGTACATTTTGCTCCAACACTTCCAACGTCAGCAGTACATTTTGCTCCAACACTTCCAACGTCAACCTTTTGCTCCAACACTTCCAAGGTCAACCTTTTGCTCCAACACTTCCAACGTCAACCTTTTGCTCCAACACTTCCAACGTCAGCAGTACATTTTGCTCCAACGTCAACCTTTTGCTCCAACACTTCCAACGTCAACCTTTTGCTCCAACACTTCCAATGTCAGCAGTACATTTTGCTCCAACACACCCAATTTCATCTGTACTTTTTGCTCCAACACACTCAATTTCAGCCTTACTTTTTCCTTCAACATATCAAATTTCAGCTCCATCTTTTACTCCAACACTTCCACTTTTAGCAGCTCCTTTTGCTCGTACATATCCAATTTCAGCTATACATTTTGCTCCAACACATCCAATTGCAGCTGTACCTTTTGCTCCAACACATCCAATTTCAGCTGTACCCTTTGCTAGATTTGGCCCCTGAAGTTCCAGAAAGTGGCCCGTTAATCATTGTCAACTGTATTTTATTAATGATTTTCTTAGCTCGGGTCTCTAGCCTACGACAATCTCTATGTTAAAAATTTTTTGTAGTGGACCAGCCCTGGTCTAGAGTCTAGCAACTGACATACTACTGAAGAACTTGTCTCTACTCTCCTAGCTGATCTTGACAGAGGATCTCCACTAAGTTGTGATGAGGTACAACAAAATAATCCAAGCAATAAATATTTACTGTTTGCAAACAGATTATTTATCTCCACAACATCAAAACAGTTTTGAATAATAACACCATACAAGACAAAACCTCACATAAAGAAGCATTCTAAGTTATAATGAAAAATAAAACAATGTCACGAGATGAAAATAAATCAAAGACTACAATACATACCTTCAGATGAGAGGGTCCTCTGTCATCCGTGTAAGTCAGGCCAAAATAATCTCTCTCTATAAGGTCCAGGTGCGTGCATACTTTGTCAAACAAAGCTCGGCCATTGTCATTCTTCTGTTAAGTTCAATCAAGCAGCAAATAAGAAATACTCATAAGAATTTATGACGAAATTTTCTAAAATTATAGTAATAAAAAACAAAAATCATTAGGCAAGGAAGAAATGTGTGCTAAACACTAGACAGGTCACAATATGAGAAAATATGCCAACATTTTCTTCTTCTGTATTAACCCTTGAAAGAGCAGTTGTGTTGTGGTTTACTGCTAGGCTGCAATATCTATGTTTTTAGCAATATATCTAATTTTAGCAAACTCTCATGCCTTTAGCAACGCAGCCGACTTCAGCAAACTCTCAATTAGTATCCTTTTACAATATACATGTCAGGGGGTAGTTGGTCTACTCTTTTTGTTTATACACAAAACTGGACCCCAGGACCCGCCCAGGAAAGTCAAAATATAATATCCTTTCTCCAAAATCTACTGCAAGAGAACAGGAGAAAAAGAGAGAAGTTTTTTTTTTAAATACAGGACCATTTTCATATCTGGCTCACTGTGTCAGATCATATTTTTATAAACCAATCAACATATTTCGGGAAACGAGGTAAAAATCTAGTTGCCTGCCTGTCACTAAGACTATTTTCTGGAACTGGTATAGGCTGGGTGGACCTGGGAGTTTAGGCACTTGAAAGAATATACCCCCAAGCTTGTTGGGAAGGCAGTGGGTCTATTCTTGTTTCCTCACAACAAAGGTCATGAAATCTACATGGGAGTTAACCATTTTCAAAAACCTCTGAGATATTTAATATGCGCATTGTGCCTATGGGACCTATTTCTTCACTGACAAATATGTGTTCGACTGTAGTTTAAATCTTTTAGTCCCAAACAGCACACAGTATGTATTTGTAATATCTATAAATCCTAATCACATATCATGTATCTGTTTACATTTGAACATTTGGTCAGAGAATGCTAAAGAAATTGGGCTTCATGTATACTCCAGATAAGCAATGTTGTGTATTCTTGTTTTTAACTGTATCTGTCTTTCATGACTGCAATACTGTGAAGCTGGATAGTTCTACTTCTTGCATGGCTTGATACTTTCTCATGGTATTCTCTTTATGTAGACAATTTGAAAGTATCCTACCGATGATTTTGTTTACACCTTGGCCATCTCCTGCATATATTCTGGTAATAAAACAGTAAATTTTGAAAACCAGTTGTGATAACACTGAACTTACATCAATGCTGAACTCCACATTTTCTCCGTCAAGCAAGAAAACATTGCAGGTAACATTTTTACCCGAAGATTTGGCAGGTGGTTGCTTTGTTGGAGATTTGTTACTCATCTTGTTTGGCTTTTTCTCATCAGTAATCTGGAAGAGCAATAAAAAATGTCATACACTTAAAATTTACTCTAAGTTGCATTAATATATATATACATAAGCCATACTTGATGCTAATATTCATCATTACTTGAACATCCCAACCCCAACAAGTTATGACTCTAAGTACATCCTAAAAGTTTCCCATTTTCCTAATTTGTCGAGGAAGTGCCAATGCTGAATCAATCAGAAATTAACTTTGCTATATTATATACAATAAGGATGACTCTTCATTCTGAACACTGTTAGAACTCTAAAACCACACTTTTCCTGCCACGGGTGCTGCAGGATGAATATTCTCTTTCCATCTAGAACTTTGTAGGACTAACATATCAAAGTTGAGAATCAGTCAGGTACAAATCTCGGAAACCCTGTTCAACTACATAACAGTTGTACTGGAGTGCTCGACGGTTACCAAATGACCTGCAGTCCAAATTGGGTAGGTAATACAACTAGACAGGTCTCAGGCATACAGTGCAAGTTTGGGCTATCCTCCGAATAACGGTCCTAAATTATTGAGGCGGAAAATATACCCTAACAGGGCCTCAGTCACGTGTCAATTACGCACTTCCAGCAACTTCTGCCACCGCCGAGAGTATCCCCCACGCCGGATTGGGGCTAAACTAGATGGCTAGGACTCACGAGCAAATAAAATGAAGGAAGCTGCAGGAGATGCGGTAGCTTCTGCTCGTGAGTCCCCAGCCATCTAGTTTAGCCCCAATCCCCGCTGTGTGAGCGGTGTGGGGGATACTCTCGCCGGTGGCAGTCGCCAGAAGCGCGCAATTTAAGGCGACGGAAGTGCGCATTTGACAACTTTACTGAGGCCCTGTTAGGGCATATTTTCCACCTCGATAATTTAGGACCGTTATTCATGGAAGAAAGCCCAAGTTTGCATATTTACTATCAAATCGGAACTCAAATGTATGTTATAATCAACATGATATGAGCTGCCTTTACATCCTATGGCTTTTGCTAATACTCATTTTTAACTGGCCCGACTCAAGAACACAGGTCAATTATAAACCTTCACAAAGATCCATACACAACTCCGTAGCTACAGCCACGTTCCTCCATTTACCCCACAGTGTTAACTCTGATACCCATTACCTAGAGGCTGGGTAAACGCCAGGAACTGTCCAGTTTCAAACCATGGCTGTGGGCTGCAGCGAGATTTAAAAGCGAGTCTCCTATCGACTGTGCTAAAGTGGCACCTTGTTACAATATAAGGCTTAACAAACCAGAACTGTCACTAGAATTCAAATTCAAACATGATACTAAACTAGTTGGCACAGTGATAAGAATGGGTTGACAGCATCCAGAAGTCCCATCTCAAGAAATTATCTTTGAGGTACACATGCACACCAGGGTGAAAGAAAATAAAAGAGTGATAGACTGTCTGCAGTGGTTAGTGGAAGAAGTATGGACAGGACAGACATAATAAGTGTGCTGCGTTCTAAAGAAGATAAGACAAAGAAGTCATAGCTGATGAGCCACCTACTGGAAAAGGGCATTTTAAATGAGAACAAACATGGACAAAAATGTGAGGCAAAGAGAGAAGATATGCCAATGATCTACTATATATGCTGAGAATGGAGACGTTGGGACAAGATGCTGCATCGGAGAACAGAACACAAATTGGTCGGACGAGTGTGTTAAGATGTTGATGTGGATAACAAGTGATTAAGCTATCCAAGAGTACTGGCATGTAAATAAGAAGTCTTTAGTTACATTATACTGTATCATATATGTCAGGGCATGCAGGAATGCAAGAAAATGAGCAAGCTGATAGGCTTGCCAATAAGGCTACTGTGGAGGGCAGACACGCCATGCTATAGTGCTATATATATATATATATATTTATATACTGAATGCAAGAACCAAGTGATGACTAAATCTGCAACCATAACCAGACTGTAGGAATAGCATGTCAAAAGCCTTAAAAGGGGTGTGGCCAGACAACAGGGCTATGCAGGAAGTCAAAGAAGAATAAGAAAACACAAAACTGGTGTCCTCAGCTGCTACACAGTGCAGCATTTAATGAGGCGATCCAAGTGCTTATGGGCTGTATGGCTTGGTATGCAGTGAGGATAATCTGTTGACTAACTACATAGCAGGGAAATTTGGATGCGACTTTTAGTTTATGTGTATATCAACATGTCATCACATGCATAGATGATAAGTCTTAAATTTAATACTAAAGCAATCTAACAAAATATTTTAAAATTTGTTTGAATAATTTGAACATATCAAACTAATGAAAATAATAATAACTATGTGAGTGTGATATTGTTCTGTTATCTTTTTTCCTATGAGTGGACTGCTGCTATGATAATCTAGGACTGAAAAGGTAATATAATATACATCACACTATCACCATGCCAGACTGCCACTATCCTGTCATCACAGTACAGCACGTCTCTACTATTAGTATTGTACTCTACTGATTCTTAGCTACTAAGTAACTAAGAAACATGACCATGATGATCTCTTAAAGTTACAATGATCAATGAACTCTGATTCTTCCCAAGCTCAGACTGATTAAATATTTCTTAGTGTAGTGACCTAGTAAACAGAGAGCAAACAAAACAAAACAAAACAGGGATAAAAGAAAAGAATAAACTAATTAATCTAATCTTTTAAATATTGGGCTCGGCTCTCCTTTAAACTATGGCCGGCAGACAACAGTAGACTGCCGGTTAGTCGGAGTTCTGTCCCCTTGCTATTGTTATATTATGACTGAAAATTTGTCGTCGTCTTCTTCTCTTCCACCTTGTACCTCATAAAAGTGTCGGGGGGAGATGTAATGTTTGTTGATGGGCTCTGTCAAGAGCACTATTAAGAATGATGTTCATTTCTGTAAGGCTGTTCTTAATGCCATCACTCCATATTTTCCGAGGTCTTCCACTCGCTTTGTAATGTTTTAGTGTAGCTCGCTGTGGCGGATAGTATCTGGTCATTCTTGTTAGGTGTCCAAACCACTTCATTTGTTGTTCTTTGATGATGACCTGTAAGGCTGGCTTTATTCCTAGCATTCGTCTGATTTCATGATTTCGTATTCTGTCTTTTCTTCAAACTCCTGCAGCTCTTCTAATGCATTTCATCTCTGTTGTCACAATTTTACGTTCATTGGAGGATGTAAGTGTCCACGTTTGGCATTGATAGCATAGTGTTGGCCAAAAAATAGTTCTGATAAATCTGTCTACTGTTTTTTAATTAGTTCATTCACTTTTCACTTTACATCAACAAGTGGTCTTGTTCGCATAATAATTCATGTCCAAAAAATGAGACATAAGACATAAAAAATACCGCAAAATAAAGCAAACTGAACTCATTAAACTTTAAATGTAAGTATTTTGTAATTTAAACTAAACATGCAACAAGTTGAAGCAGAATCGAGTGAAATAACTCGACCACGGAAGTAGTCAACGTTCCATACTACATAAGACGTTCAAACCATAACTATAAACTCTAAAACAGCTGTCTGTAGTTCTCGAATACCTCACACTAAGTGGCGTGAATATTTTACCGTAACGATCATGAAAGTATCTGATATGTCGACTTTCCCAAGTGAAATACCTGAACAACAGTTTCATTCAAAGCAACAGCATATTATATACAATTCATGACACCGACATTGAACACATGTATGTACACACAGGTCTGACCTATTTTTAAAGGCGGGATACACATTTATTTTAAAAGTTCCAACTAGGAAATTAAATCACCCGCATCTAAGCAAATCGCAAATATTTCTGGCAAATATCACTACTTCCTAATATACACGAACCGCACATCAGACAGCATAATCAAACGTGACCGCCAGACACAACTTTCGATCGTTCACGGTTTTCCGCAGCGAGGAAAATGGCTGCCGGGGGCTTCAGCACGGTAATCGTACCTGACACGCTGCGATGCAAATAACAATTTTGTTCTAATGCATAAAACATCTAGCCGTGGGTTCAAAAAATTCGTGCATACCATTCAGATCCTCTGACATACATAACTAGCATCTATCAGCTTCCTCAGAAAGTTTATTTTGTTGTAGGAAAGTCCGGAGAAGGAATAGTTTCACCGACACGCTACCTTGTAGTTCCCAGCATGCCATACTAGGTCAGGTCTGCGGCAGGTTGTAAACAATCGCGACCTGTATTTGAAGCCGTGCGAAATATTATTTTGCCTAATCTTCCAGCACTAGGGGGAAAACGAAGACCCCTGTCCCGTTTCAGACAGGATAGGGTCTGTTTAACGTGTATTTAATGTAAATTTGGATAGTGTCGTTGTAGCTTGATCGGCTGTGGTCCGGCTTTCAATTACATCTGAAACAACAATTTGCCACGCCCCCCTGGAATCGTCACTCATCTTGTCTGTGAAAGTAAGGGCACACGCAGATGGTGGGGGGGGGGGGGGAGGTCTCACATTTCATAAACGTTATCACGTTGTAAGAGTTCCAGTCTCGTATAGATTCACACGCAGGCATAACTGTACAAATTTACCTGCACACTTAGAAAGACAGGTGTTCAATCACAGATAATGAGAGAGAGACTTCTTCATCTTCTTCTTGGCATTTACCGGCTGTAACATCCAGTGGAAAGTTCTGGTTGTTCGTCCACTTCTGGACATGGGTTTATTCCCCAACTTGAGTTTTGGTGTCACATTTGTTTAACAGATCTGACTTATTTGATGCACCCTACTGGTTCCTCTCCTCTCGGGTAGCACTCCAACTTTGAAGGAAAAGCCTTTAATTTGTTGCAGTTACGACATGCTCTAAGCTTGTCTCCTCCGTCTTTTTTTCAGAAAGACACAATAGGAAATGGAAATAGAGAGAGAAGACTGGCGTATATACACACAATTACACATACATAATACATCGCGAGTGCAGTTCTTTAGGGGGTCGCTATTTTAAATACGTAGTTCGTGCTTTGCGCAACATTTTTAAGAGTGACGAGCTGCTCTACGGAGAGAGTACAAGCAATCAAACCTAGCACAGTGAT